CTTGAGTTCGGAGTTTCAAACTGGGAATTGAACATTCCAAACTCAGCAGTCAACCTGATTCATTCTTTGGCTTGGACTGTTCAGGTTGCCATGAAAAGCACGCCCGAAAATGAGGTTAGGAATCAATTCAACAATTGAGCTAACCAACCTGATGTTGATTCATTTTATTCAAGAGAACTCTGTTGTCTTTATGTAAGAAGATAAAGCAGTCTCTTATACCGTCCTGGTATGTATAGTTATAAGAATAATTATTGTTGTGATTTGTTAAGTTGGGGGTGGGAAAGGGATTAACACTTGGGAATCCCCCCTATGGAGGTAGGTGTGACTTGTATTAGGCTATTGTCTCAGCCACTATAGGTGCAAGTATATGAACAACTTTTCATGAAGTAATAGGCATCAATGGTGCGAGTACTGTTGACCAATCCATTTTCCCCAATTGCAAAGTATAAAACTGCAAGTTGAGGTATTGAAATACTAATAGTTCTTACTTATTAAGCCTGCATGTACCCATGCATGATGCTTTGAGTATGGTTACTCTATAATTTGTGCCTACTTATAATCTCTATAAATTGACTGATATGTAATCGAAAAAATGCAGCTTGATTTGTGAATTGGTGATTATTTTATGAGTCAGATAATTGTTTGGTCACATAATTTTGACATTTATGCCTGTGGATTATTGGGCATTTAGCTCTCTGCACTGTACTTGTGCGTCAGGTTTTGCCAACATGATGGTTTGTTCTCCCATCATCACGTGTGCAAAGAATGTTGTCCACTTGAGGGGCTGGAGGAGCAGCAGTCTCTGCAGCGTCATTTCCCTTGGACCATCCAGTTCATGCAGTTATTGTTTGTACTCCAGACCCAAGACAAAATATACTGATCTTTCTGTTTCCAATACAATATCTGGTTCACCTACTATTGGCTACCAAGAATTCCTAGCAGGCTGCTTTCACTCATCCAGGCAAAGTGGCAAATTCCAGTCACTAACAGTTAAGAAGTCAATTAGTTATAAAGGAAAACAGAAAAGACAGCTTGAAATTTCTTGCACCAGCCAAAGTATGAAAATGAGGCTTTGGCTGCCCAAACAAGGAACACTTAAAAAATTCAAATGCATTGGAGGACCTATATCCTGGCCTCCAGGTTATGTTTCTGTTGGCTTAGTTTTTGGTCTGTTGGTTTGTTGGTTTGTTATTCAAGTTCTGAACCGTTACATGCAGAGGCTGCTGGCGAAAAGGAGGGTAAGACAGATGACGGCGAGTCTTCTCATGCTAAATTCTCTCATGGGAAAAAAGTCTACACCGACTATTCTGTCATTGGTGAGTGGCAGATTATTCCCTATCCTTATACAGCCTAGTCAGAAAATGCTCGCGCTTAGTTATTGAATTTAAATTGGAGGTATCAGTTAAATCACTTCCCTAAGCCGTACATTGTGCAGGAATACCTGGAGATGGAAGATGTATGTTTCGGTCTGTGGCTCATGGCGCTTGTTTAAGATCTGGGAAATCAGCTCCCAGTGAACAAGTTCAGAAAGAATTAGCAGATGACTTAAGGGCTAAAGTATAATCTTAATTTGCTTCCATAACCATTTTCCCTTTTTTTTTTGGGTTTTGTTTTATAAAAATGCATATTTTACTTCTGATTGATTTCCTGATTTTATATATCCCTTTTTTATAACTTTCAATTGCTAAGTTTGCAGTTTTTGTAGATCTCCCTATAAAAAACTTTTACTGAATCAAAAGAGATACTGGTTTGTTTGCAAAATAAATCTTCTGTTACAATTCTTTATATAGTGATGCTGGCAGTTTTGATGCATAATGAAGGGTTGTCTCTTCTGCAATGTTTGTAATTTAGCCCTTGATTTTTCTGATGTTCTATTAAATTTTTCAGGTTGCAGATGAATTCATCAAAAGAAGAAAAGAAACAGAATGGTAAGTCTTCTGAGTTGTCTGTTTGATTTTGTCAACTTTTATACTCATTTCGTTGTCCCTTTCGCTGTCAGCTATTTTGTTGCCAGAAGAATCTTCCATCTGTTATTAAAAACTATGAAATGAAAGCAAGACATCAGTGACAGGAGTTATATAGTCAACTCATTAATGTTAATTTTCAGTTTGTAGATGCCATTTCTGAGATGAAGGACTCCAAAGTATTTTTAGTATTGTCTTGTTTGTGATGCAACCTTTCGTACCGAATTTGAATATAGCATCCAAGCAGGTTCTTCTGAAGAGGATGAATTAATTAACTCTCTACATGAAAAATACCTGTTATTCACATTGGGCAAAATCATAACATTTATCTTTTCAAGAGAAGATATTACTTCACTTAGGTTGAATCTTTTTTCTTCGAAGCATGTATCTGATGGCTTAACAATGCCAACAGGTTTGTTGAGGGAGATTTTGACACCTATGTATCACAAATAAGGAAGCCACATGTGTGGGGAGGTGAACCTGAACTGTTCATGGCTTCTCATGTTCTCCAGTAAGTCTTTATCTGTCTCTGTTTATTGAGCGTGGTGTAAACAGGTTTGGGTTTTCTTGACCAAGAGAGCTTAATTCATAGAATTGTGATCGTTATTATTTGTACATCTATTTTTTATTAGTATATACTAGCATTAAAATAAACCTTTTTGTGATGCACTGGATAGCCAATTTTTCTTTCCATCCCTCCTTTCATAAATCAATTAATGAATAAATAAATATATCAATAATTGATGATTACAGGATGCCAATCACAGTCTACATGTACGACACGGATGCTGGTGGCTTGATTGCCATTGCAGAGTATGGCCAAGAATATGGCTCGGAAAATCCTATCAGAGTTCTCTATCATGGTTTCGGTCATTATGATGCACTGCAGATGCCTGGAAGGAAGCCTGGTAAATCAAAACCCTAGCTTTAGATTCTGACACGAACTAAGCATCAATGTTCAATTTCTAGAACATATGCATAGTGTTTTATATTTGTATCATCAATTTCAAACATGTAACCATTTAGTTGCAAATGATTATTCAAGATTATTTGTGTTTCTTTGTTTGACATAATAAATTACTTTTCGTTCCATTACACGACCAATCATCACCTTATCAACTCCTTTGACATTGAAACTGAGGAACTGAATATTTGCACAAAAGGAATAGTTGACAATGCAGAAAGTTATGCCATAAAACTTTTGTCCAAGTTAAACTGACCAAGAGTTAAGCAATGTTGGCAAGTTCATTTTCTTTTTAGTAATATTTTGTAACACATCAATTTTCAGTTTTAATTAAGTTGGGATTCTTATTTCTCAGCACGTGAATCTTACATGATTTTATTAAGGTTAAAAAGCTACAATAACTTTAATATTCTGGTATGTTAGTACAATATTAAATTTTTAATTTTAATAATCAAATTCAAAATTTGACAACTTAAGTAAGAAACATGGAAAAGTAGATTGTTTTTCTGAATGCTTTGGATATTGTTTAGGTTGGCTGGATTTTATTCCATAGAGATTGCTTAGGTAACTTTCTTTCTACTTCAAAATAGCGAATAATTCGTTGCTTCATCTGCTTTTTGTTATGATCTTAGAAAGGATTCATGAATTTTATATCAATTATATATTAGAATCGATAGTAAAATATAAATGTTCATATAATATTCAACTCATGGGATGGCTGTTTAAAATAAAATCGTTAACTTGAAGAATCCAAGCGGACTATATCTTAAAAATTGGTGTGGGTTGAAATGCTGTTGATGTATCTTTTTGGCTAAAACTCAAATTAGGTATAACAGGTTGGGTGGCATTGGTGGTCTCAATACTCAATCTCTCTCTCTCTCTCTCTCTCTCTCTCTCTCTCAATCTTTGAAAGCTGCACTGCTTCTTGCATGCGGCAGCCTTCCTTTACTTTTGGATTGTTGATATCACCTTTTGCTGCCAGATATTATAAAATTAAAAAGTCCTGTAACATCAACATATCAAATTTGAATGTTACTAACGCTAAACAGCCCAACAACACCACAATTCTCTGTTCAAATCCTAATCTTTTAAACTGGTTCCCGGAATTTGAATTTGGATTCTACTATATTTTCCACGCTCAAATTTGGTTTATTATTGTTTTTTCTTGAATTTGATGAAATAATTTTTTAAATAATATTTTACCCATGCTCATAATCATCCGGACCTTTGAAAAAATCAAAGACAAACGTATACTCCGAAGTATTGGAGTATATAAACAGAATTGGAGCAAACAAATTTCTACGTTTGTTATGGCGCATGTCGTATGCTTTGGAATTTTTTGAATATCAAATTCAAGTTACGTAAAAGACCTTTGTTTCAGGTGGAAACTGAAAAAAGTTACACATGGGTCCTGCCTGCCTCAAGACATAAACAAATGTCGGAAAACCTGAAAACAAATTACACAGCAGGGAGCTCAGCTCACCCACTTTAAAATTGGAATCTTCGATCAAGCGTAAATTTACTGAATAATAATCCAATCTCCCAATTGCCATTGCCATTCATAACTCCCTTAAGCACAGCAAAGCCAATATTTGCAGAAACATTAAAAAAGACATAGTTTTTCAAGTTAATATATGATAGCAGTAGCAGCCATTGAAACAAGTTGCATGATTTTCAACAGGAATATTGTTAGCTTTGACCCTCCACAGTACTTCTACCTGCCTTTTTTATGAAAAAAAATATAAATAATACTATTGCTATTACATTAAAATATTCAATTTAATGATTAATGTATGGAGTATTTTTTATTTAAAAAAAAAACTGAATTTGAATTTTTAGTTTTTTGACAAAAGCATCAAAAACTAGAATTCTAGGAACAAGACTACTACTCAAAATGTTTTCAAACTAGTTATATTTGTGAGGCAATCAAGAATAGATGGAACAACTTTCCATGTAATCACAGAATTAATATTCCAATGTCTCATCTGATTAATAATGTCTTTGTCAGTGTTTTGGATAATACCAGCCTGACTGCCTGAGCCTCGTTCCTCTCTACTCTCTACCTCGACAACTTCACACTTACTTTCAAACGCGTCAAGGGACTCTCCTTTTCCTCTTCTTCCTCCTTGCTCTCTTCTTCTGCAACTTCTCGTTGCATGAAACCGACCTTTTATTATGTTCCAATGAAGCCTTAAAAAGACTGACATTAGCAAAATCACGAAGAAAAAGGATGCTACTTTCACTTTTCAAAGTTGCTTCGTTTCTATTTTTCTTAACTTCACTGGTTTCCTCTCTCAATTTGGATGGTCTTTCTCTTCTTGCTTTCAAGGCAGCCATAGAGTCCGACCCAACTCGTTCCCTTGACAAATGGTCTGAGTGGGATTCAAACCCATGCCAATGGCCAGGAATCGCCTGCACTCGCAACCGAGTCACCTCAATATTCCTTCCTAACAAAAGGTTAACCGGTTACATCCCATCAGAACTCGGCCTCCTTGACTCTCTAACTCGCCTGAGTGTCTCTCAAAACAACTTTTCAAAACCCATTCCTTCTCGTCTCTTCAACGCTACAAACCTTATCTACATTGACCTTTCTCATAACTCACTCTCTGGCCCAGTTCCTCCACAAATAAAATCCCTCAAGAACTTAACCCACCTCGACCTTTCCGCCAACTCACTCAACGGGTCACTCCTTGAGTCACTCGTTGAGCTTAAAAGCTTGACAGGAACCCTCAACTTGTCTTACAACAAGTTTTCAGGTGAAATTCCAGCTTCTTATGGAGAGTTTCCGGTTCTGATAAACTTGGATCTAAGGCACAATAATTTAACAGGGAAAGTGCCTCAAGTTGGTTCTTTGTTAAACCAAGGGCCCACCGCATTTTCAGGAAACCCTAATCTTTGTGGGTTTCCGTTGGGGAATCTTTGTCCTGACGCTCAAAACCCTGGAGCTATTTTAAACCCGGAAGAAAACCCAGATGATCCCAAGGGTTTAAGGCCGATTTTTAATGATGGGAATGTAGAGAAACGCAAGGAAAAAAATGGTTCGGTGGTTGTTCCTTTGATCTCAGGCGTTTCCGTATTGATCGGGGCGGTTTTGGTGTTTGCGTGGCTGTTTCGGATAAAATGGAAGTCTGGGGACCGTAAAATCGGGAAAGAGAAAAAGAGTGAGGAGGTTGACGAGGAAGGACGAAATGGTAAATTCGTGGTGGTTGATGAAGGGTTTAATTTGGAATTAGAGGATTTGTTGAGGGCATCTGCGTATGTAGTGGGGAAGAGTAGGAGTGGGATTGTGTACAAAGTGAAAGTGGTGGCGGGGAGGGGATCCAGCACGGTGGGCACTACGGTTGTTGCTGTGAGGAGGTTGAGTGAGGGTGATGCGACGTGGAAGTTGAAGGAGTTCGAGGCTGAAATAGAGGCAATTGGGAGGGTTAATCATCCCAATGTTGTAAGGTTGAGAGCTTATTATTATGCAACTGATGAGAAGTTGCTGGTTACTGATTTCATCTGCAATGGAAGCTTGTATGCTGCATTACATGGTAACTTTCCTCTCCTTGCATTGGCTTTTTTTTTTTTCCCTTCAAAGTTCTACTAATCGTTAAGCAAGTCTTAAGTAGTTAATGGCATTTTTTTAATGTCTTTAAGATTGTTAAACGAGACCCTAGAAAAAGGCGGCATTGGACATTGATTTGTTGGTCCCTTGCTCACTAACTGTATTTTGTCATAAAACAGAAGTCAATTGGCTTGAACGTACTTAGAAGTTCAATCTTGGTTTTGTTTTGATTTTTGCTATGAGTTTACTTGCAATGTGTGTAGGATGATGACATTGTATTCCATTTTAGCCCTGTTGATGGTCAAACAATCTGAATTGGATGGATGAAATTGTTGGTTGTTTGTAGTTTATAACCGTAGAATGAACAGGACCATTAGTGCTTCAATTTCAATTTTCTGCTCATGATATATCTAGATGGAAAGAAAAAAACCCACGGTTATGATCATGTTAAAGTATTGATGGGAGTATTTGTATATGATAATGTTTTTGAGATACTTTCATTATGTAATTTCCACTGAATACACAATAACTCTTGGTTTTCAACCGAAGTACTTAAAAGTCTAGAACATACCTGTACACTTTTTTCTAGTATAGGATCTCTTTACTATAGATTACATGGTTGAATTCGATACTTACAAATCTGATGAATTAGGTATATTGGTTCATTTAGAAGCATTATTGCTTAAAGCTTTCACTTGTTGAAATCTGTTTGTTGTTATCTTCTGCTTATTTTCCTCTTCCATTCATGATTCATGATTCATGAGTTTCTATACTTTGTACTGACATTTATTAGCGTAAACAGTCATTATTTTCTTGGCCTTTTGACCCTGCCACTGCCTCACAAGTTTCACACTACCTATCATTTTCAAGACAGCTTCTGTCTTGGACAATGATTGAAAAATACTTGACAACGAAGGTAAAGGAGACTCAAGCTGTTTTCAAGCACCTAAATTCTTGAGCTACTTTACAGTTTGGTGGGTTTTGCTGATCTTTTGTTATGAATTTTGTTGGTCATTCTTGGAAATTTCCTATATGTATTTTAACTAGATAAACAAGAGAAAAGCACCGACATTATGATGATACAATATAAGCTTTAATGCTTTACCTACTTTGATGATAGGTAGGTGATATTCTTTGTCACAGGTTTTTTTTTTTTTTTTCTTTTCTGATTTTCCAGTTGAGGGTGTAAGCTGAAAACTGCAATTGAGCTAATTATAACAATTTGTAACAATCAGAGTGTTTTTCCATTCCTAGCCTATACACGCTCACGCCAAAGTAGACAATAAGTAGAGAATATGATATAAGCCTTTTGGTATTACTTCTTTCAAATCACTTGCTGGGTACTTTTAGAGACTTTTTTTGTCTGAATTGGCCCTGTACTAACTCAGCCTTGGTTCACCTGTGACATATTTCTTTTGGTTTTCTCTTTTCCAACAGAGATTTTTCTCTCGCTTGTCTTTTATCCTTGTCATTTCACTACAAGTATGCTTATTAAGTTTAGAACATATCTGACCATATTGGTCCTGCTGATGTGCTGCTCATACAAATTAAAGGACCAAAATTTATTGAATGGACCCCATGAAGGTAAGTGCATTGTTTTTTTATGCATTGAAATTTTAGTTGATGACATTTAACAAAAAGTGGATCATTGACTCAATAGTTGCCTTGTTATTATCTGAAGTGCATTTGCATGTCTCAGGTTTTGCTCTAAAGAAATTTCCATGAAATTATCATTCTTCAGTAGATTGTTTGGTATAACTCTGCAATCAGTTTGCATATGACTTGTTGTATGCAAAATGAGAAAAATAAGATATTAAGAAAAACATTTTTCTGTATTGTCCGCCAACACATGTTTCCATTGTGCTTTTTGTTTGATTGTGGTAAATTCTCTGATAACATAAGACGAGAATCGTAGCCATTTTAATATGATATTTTAATTATGCAGGAGGGCCATCCAATAATCTGCCATCGCTTTCCTGGGCTGAAAGGTTGAGGATTGTTCAGGGGACTGCGAGGGGTTTAGTGTACATACATGAATACAGCCCTAGAAAATATGTTCATGGCAACTTAAAATCAACAAAAATGCTTCTTGACCATGAACTCCAGCCTTACATCTCCGGTTTTGGACTCACTCATCTTGTTTCAGGGACTCCAAAATATGCCAGTTCAATAACCAAAAAGCTGAACTCAACCGAAACAAATGCAACCTTTGCAGTGGGTTCAAGAATTTCAACTCCTAATTCTTACCTGGCACCTGAGGCTCGAGTATCCGGTAACAAGTTCACTCAGAAATGTGATGTATACTCATTTGGAATTGTGCTATTGGAGATTTTAACTGGTCGGCTGCCTGATGCTGGACAAGAAAATGGTGAAAAGGGATTGGAAGGTCTCGTGAGGAAAGCATTCCGAGAGAAGCGCCCCTTGTCTGAAATAATAGACCCAACACTTATACCACAAGTTTATGCGAAGAAACAAGTGGTTGCAGCATTTCACATTGCACTCAATTGCACAGAACTGAATCCAGAATTGCGGCCTAGGATGAGAAGTGTCTCGGAGAGTCTTGATCGCATCAAATCGCAGTGAAAATATATCTGGCAAGAATCTTGTAAAGTTCCATCATTGTTGCTAACTCCTGACTCCTGCTGAACCTGTTTTGGTTTCAGAAATCCTTGGATACAGGGTCACTTTGATGTATGACTTTGTGTTAGATTATTGTTGCAAATGCATTATCTTTGAATGTTTTGATCTGTCTATATTTGAATGTCGATCATATGCAAAAGGAACAGATACTTGAAACAGGGCAAAATTGTTATGAAATCCTCAAGCCAACCTCTTGTGACTCTGATTCCTGATGCATGGACGCTGGACAGCATTATCAAAAAAGCCCAGATCAGGCAAATTTTTAATTTTATTTAAAAACAGGTGGAAGAAACATCAAACTCAGTATCAAACAGGAAACAATGGAATTCTTTGAATCTTTCTTTTGGAACACTGAATTTTTTTGGGGGTTGCATGAAACGCTGATTTTTTTACTGCCACTAATTGCTACGTGGAGCTGAAAATTAAAACTTATAAACTTTAAAATATAATATTTATACACTAACATATATTAAATATTATATATTTATATATACTAGAGAATAGAATTTATTTATAAATGAATGGCAATTAATACGTATAAGTTATTATTTTTAGTTTAAAGGTTTTCTAATACACATCATAAAATAAGTGAGATTTATATGATGAAAGAGAATTATTTTTTATTGTATAATTTAAAATTAAATGTAAAAGAAAAATTAATCATTAATTTCCATAAAGACGTTTTGTTAGAAAGCAAGTGGAGCATGATGCATTATTAATCATTCTTCATGAACTTTAAAAAATAGAGACATTTAGGAGTCCAACTCAATTAACATTTTCTAAAATTTGTTCAAAATTTAATTTTATGGGTTAATTAAAATCCATTTAGACTCATGACTGCTAAAAATAGCATTAGAATAGTAAAAAATTTTATATTTATATTTATATTTTAATATTTTTAAATATATTTAAAAATTAAATCAAATAAAAATAATATTTTAAACCAAACCAAAAAAATTCTATTCAAGATTTAACCCATATTGTGTTGCCTAGCTCATGTGTCATGGGTCGAGATTTAAGCTTCGAATTCGTGCGACTTCGAGATCTGAGCATGCACTCATTCGACATCTCAGATCAATTTTTCTGTCACGATTCATATCTTTGTGAGATATTGTTCACTCTGACCCTCATGATCTCATGATTTTATCTTACAAAAAGTGTCTCATAAGACAGAATTGATGTGAACATTTTCTATCCCAATAATTCTCTTATTATATTCGATGTGAGATTTAGTACTCTTCCTTAAATCCATAACAAAGATAATAACCTACTAAGAAAGTTGAAGGACCACTCAACTATTCAACTATGGGAATCTATTTGAATCCTCATCCTTGGAAACTTATGATATGTTTTAGGTTAAATATTTAATTTAAGATTAAATATTTGGATGATTATTTAATTTAAAATTAAATATTTTAATTTATACAGATAAAAATAAATTATTATTTAATATTTATAATTAAAGATATATTTAAATAAAAAAATTATGTATATATCTTACCCGTTATTTATTTGTGTGATTTAGTTATATATTGAAAAATATTTATTTCCACAACCCCAAAAAAAAAAAATCGGTTTCATAAGAACACAACTTTTCTGTCTTCTTTCTTTCCAGAAATTTTTTGTCCTAATTTCATATTTTTCTTCCCTCAACTTTTGTTTTTCTATAATACCTCCCATTGTTCTATTCTTGCAAAGGGTTTTTTTTTTATTTAATTTTTTTTCTTTATTCGACTCTCTCTCTTAACCGAAATCGAAATCGCTGCCGCTCAATTTGCGATCTAGGCGCCTCTGGGGACCCATTTAGAGCAGTCCACCTCTGGGTTTCAAGCGGAGTCTGCATGACTCTTGATTTCAGACGGATTAGTACAGTTCAGATTAGAGATTATCGGATATTTTGACAATGGGTTCGGGTTTGGGTAATTGGGACTTTTGACAATAGTTTTGACAGATGCAGCAGACTCTGTAATAGCAGATACAGACAGATGCACAGGGCTTGATTTCAAACGGGTAGTTCTAGATATTTTGACAATGGGTTTAGGTAATTACGATTCAAATTATGGAATATTGGTGAATTTCTAATGGGTTTATGATCTTTGGGCTTTATAACTGGGTTGATGCTAGATCATTGGTTTCAATTTTCTGTTTTTTTATGCATGTTTTAATTTAAAATTTTTGGATAAACAAAAATTTATGTGGTTTAATTGTGAATTTTTTAATTTCGTAGGTATCATAGTATGGATTGGTACCTTTTTTTTTATATATTAATATTGAGTAATTTAAAATTTTAATAATTGTGTTGCGTAAAAAAATTTCAGAACTTTTAATTTTTATTTTCTTACTTTGTATTTTTAAATTGTATTTTAAATAGTAAAAATAAATAAAAAGGATTTTTTTCTAAAAAATAAATCTCGATTTTTGAATTATTTTTAATTTTTATTTAAAATAAAACTTAACCATTAAAAAAATGACACATGACTGCATTTTTCATTTAATTGTTATTTTTATTAGATTAACGGCATGTGTGAAATAAGCATAAATTTTTATTCAAATATATTTTTAATTGTAAATATTCGATAATGTTTAATTTTATTTATGTAAATTAAAATATTTAATTTTGAATTGAGTAATAACCAAAATTTTAATTTTAAATTGAGTATTTAGCTTATGTTTTAATTGGATGATACGTTTCTAATGTTGACAAGTCTTTTTTTTTATGAATTATCTTAATACAAAAGCACATTTTCAATAATTAAACACAGATCACATGCGTGGAAAAGGTAGTTACTCGACTAATGTGCTATTTGATAAATTTACCAAATTTAATACTAAAAAAATTATATATTAAATTTATGATATAAAATTTGTTTGATATATGTTTAAAAAATAAATATTTAATAGTTTTTATTAATTTTTTAAAATTGAAATGTTCGTTTCATGCTAACAATAATTAAAAATGTTTATACATTAAAATGGATCGAACCAAGCTTATTTAACTTGTTAAAGGCTAGCGCAAAGTCCAACTTAAGTTCCTCAACTCTCTCACTTAAGCATATTTAATTTAAATTTATTATTAAATATTTAAATAAATGACGGGACCTAAAGTTTGAAATTAACAGAGAACTATCTTGCTATAATAGTAAATACCAAATGTGTTAAAAGATCCTGAGACCACAAAAAAAAAAAAAAAAGGAAAAGAACAAGAAAATCAAAGAGTTCGATTTTTGGGAGGTGCCTATTAGACAAAGTAGCAGTTAGAGGATAAAAAAACTATTACAAATGAGGAGACATGCCACTCGATTTTTGGTGCAATCAAAGGAAGGCATGGAATGGAATGTGAGAGGAACTGGAAACTCGATTACAACTATATGGGAAGAATCGAGACCGAAACAGATGAAGGTAGTGTGGCACAAGCTAACATGGTGTAAGCTGTACGTACCCAAACATGCAATCATAGCTTGGATACGATATTAAACAGACACCCCACCAAAGATAAATTGAACACACGAGGGATTACAACAAATAAAAAGAAGCTGTGTGCTATGCAAAGAGGATGAGACTAGAGTCATATCTCATTTAGTTGCAATTACTTTAAAATTGTGTGGAAACAAAATTTACAGCTCTGTAATTTACATAAAAATATATCTGATTAAAATAAAATTTTATTGAGTTGTAAGCAGGTTGAGAGGGAAGGTATTTATAATTGTCATATTAAGATTGACATGGATTGTATACATTTATCTAATTTGAAGTAAAAGAAACTAGAGATAATTTACTATTATAGAAAGTAACGAAAGATAAATTTTTAGAATAATAAAAAAAAGTGATACAATTGAGATTGATGGGGTTAAAAAATATTATTTTTGTAATGTAAATAAAAATTTATGTGAGAAATACAGTTTAAAAATAAATATATTTATATAGTAATCAAGGCAGTGGATGAAATTATATAAATTGTTGATTGATAATAGTAAATTATTATTTTAGATAATAAAATTACAAATTATTAAAAAAAAAAATCAAAGAGGTCGCTTGCCGTTGGATTATTGTTCAATTGGGGCCCATGCCACTCTCTTTCTCGAATGTATAAAAAAAAAGAAAGTTGAAGCAAACTACCACAAAACCAAGAGATCTTTGCTTGAATTAGAAGCATTTTTTATAACCCTTTTTGGATATATGAAGCCCAAAAGTGGAAATGACTCAAAAGTATTGGAGAAAAAAACAAAAAGCCATGAAAATGGAGTGCGAGTAGCAAACCCATTGAAGCGAATGCGATCTCACGTGTCTTTGTTTCCCTCCACACAAACACTACTCTCTGCTTTAATTGGAGGCCTTCAATGCCTAGCTTTTGTTTTGTTTCTCTCACTATCATTTTTATGGATTTTTTTTTTTTGATCACAAAAACCATGAGAGCAATTTGGGACCACAATGAACTCATTAACATTTTCTTAATGACGCATAAATTAAATTCTAAGATAATTCAAGTGATGTAATTAATTAAGATAATGATATAATATTAGTTTTTAAATTTCCTCTCCCTTTAATAATTTATTCTCCTGGAAAAAGTTATCCAAAAGAAGATAAGTATATCAAAGTACCAATATCCTATTACACATGGTAGATTAATCTATGATCATTTTTAAATGTTTTTAGATACTTGAATTTTAATCAATCTTGTTTATTATTGCATAACAAAGAAATATAAAAAAAATATTTGCTTTCTTATATTTTAATTTTACAATTTTAGATCATTGACTCAATTATTTATACCAATATTATATATAATTACCCAAATGGTTTTCGCCAAATCAGTTGATTTTTTTTTCAAATAATGAAAATGTAAAAAACAAATTCTATCTCTACTCTCTATTTGATATTCCATCTATCTTTCACTTTTTAATCTAATTTTCTTCCTATATTTTTTAATAGCTTTTAACCTTAATTTAACATTTTTACCTTGTTATGGTTTTATGGAGTTGAGCTAGTTGGTTTATTATACTTATAATTTAAAAAAAAAAAGGCAACAAGAAAAATATTATTCTTTCTGTTCTAAAATATTTAGGTTATATTAACTTTTATAAAATTATTTTAATATAAAATTTTTTTTATAAAAGTTAATTTTATAATGTTAAATATTAAAAAATAAATATATAATATATAAATATATATATATATATATAAAAAGACAGAAGGAGTATTTATTATATAATATTAAAATGGTAAGATAGTAAATTAATGAGAAAATGGGTGTTGACGAGGAAAGCTGAAAATTTGGAAAGACGGCGCTTGTTTATCTGATGTGATTGGAAGAAGGAAAAAGATAAGAAGAACGGAGGGGGGGAATCGGATACGCTGATACGGCATAAAAGAGGTGCAGTCACGGGTGACGTCAAGGCGTAATCACGGACCAATAGCTTTCCATTATCGTGTGCTTTCCGCCCTATCCCCGTGGTTTGTGTTCCTCCACGCAACACAATTCCCGATGTTTAATAAGACCCTTGTGCCTTTTCCCATTATTTTATTCCCAGTTATAACTACTCCTGCTATTTTATGGCCACCTTTTTTTTTTTTACACTTACTAATTTTGTAAATTAAAAAAGGTTAAAACTTTTTTTACAAAGATAGATTTTTGGCCAGATTTTTTTCGAAGCTATTACTACACAACAATTATAATCATATTTAAAGATTATATAAAATTAATTAATCAAACAACAAACAAATTAATATATAATAGATTAAATTTAGCATAAAATTAAATTAAAAAGTTTGAGATTTCAAAAGTTTAAAAAATTAATGTTAAAACAAAAAAAATTATTTTATAAAATTAATAAAAATCATATTAAGTAAGTTGCTTGACAAATAAATTTTTTTATCAATATTTGACAATCAAATTAAAAATAAAACGTATTGTAAAAATCATTTGAGATTATCAGCAGTAAGTCAATAATTTATAATAGCTGGAATTCATTTCATCAATTAAAAAAGTAGTTAGAATTCATAAACGAAATTGTTTCATTCTTCTTCAAATAATTAGTAAGGGTAGATTTATATGAAGATTCATTAGCCAAATGTAAAAAATGAACTATAAGAAGAAAAATATAAATAAAAATTTTTCTTTATGCAAATCTAATGATAAAATGGTTGTTATAATTCAAATATGAATTTCACCTAAAATCCTAATGTGGACGTGCCTCGGGTCAATTACCTTTGCCCTTGACCTTGATCCCTAGGCAATACCTTAAAGAGCACGCAAACTCATATTTTAAGCCCATCCCGATAGACAAAAATTTAGTGTTCTCACCTAATCATTTTTAAAAATATTTAATATTTAAATTTTAAATTTAATTTTTTTTATTTTTAAACAATGTTATAATATTTTTATCAACTTGATTGATTTTATAAACTAAATCAAAGACTTGAATCTTTGAATGATGAAATCTCTAAACTTATCTTTATCATTAAAAATCACGTGGATTAGAAAATTTTTATTTATTTATTTCATTTGTGGGTTGTGATTTTGATTTCCTACACTTTCGCATCTCTTTTCTCCTTTTGCACTCTTGCTTAAAAGTTAAAAGGCCATATTATTTGTTAATCGAAAACAAATCCTTACATTAAAAATGAACTTTAAAATGTATTAGACAAAATGTTTAACCCTTACATAGTTGTACATCTTAAAAGAGTAGATATATATGTTTAAAATACATCAACGAAAATTTTGTATGTTTCAAAACCATTAAGAAGATCGTACTTATTTACTTAATTTTATAGTTTTATTCATAATTGATCAATTTGATTAGTTTAGTTTGAAAAAATCAATAATCAATTTAATTAATTTTCATTTAATAAATAATTGAATCGATAAAATTTTTTTAAATAATTAACCATAATTGAACCAATAAAAATTAACTCAGTTTGATAGGTTTGGTTAAATAACTAATTTTTTATTATTTTTTTATTGTTATGAATAATTATTTAATAACATATTTAATTTAATAAAACTCAAACTTAAATATAATTAAAACTAAATCATTAAAGAATTTAACAAATTCAACAATATTTTGCAAAAATAAAAATACTTCAATTAACTTTTTTACCTTTATTTATTAAAAAATCAATTAATTCGATTATTAAATATAAAAATAAAATATTGATTGAATTAATCAATTTAAAAAATCGATTATAATTAAAATCGAATAAACTAAATTGAATTAACCAAATTCACTCGATCTCAATCGATTTAATCGATTCAAACCAATTTTTACTCACTCATAAATATTTGTAATTCGGGTAAGACCCATTTGATAAATAAAAACATAAAACATAAAACACTTATTTATTTTATATTTGTTAATAAAATGCTTAAAATATTTTTTATATTAATATTTTAAAATTAAATAAAAATATTTTTATTAATATACTAATTTTTTTCGATCTAATCAAATCCAAAAAATCATGTTCAAAACCAACATAAGTTAAGCCGAACTCGCCCACTAACTCAACCATGAACAAATATATTTTTTGATAACCATTTGTGACAATTGGTATCTTAATATTAAATCAAATAATTTGTGTTATATATATTTTTTACAAAAGGGCTAAGTTTAAGAAAAAAAAATTACAAAGGATGAAAATCAAATTTTAATTTTGTGTGAAAATACATTGGAAAAGAGATAAATAATAAAATTTTGGGCTAAGCCATAAATTCATTTATATTGTACTTTGTCTATTAATAATGTATATTTAGGAGCCCATAAAAAATGTATATTTAGAAGGGAGGACAAGAAAAAGAAAATTCTTACATCATATTGTCGTTCATTCTTGACAAAGGGTAATTAAAATTGTGCACTTAATTTTGACATTGCATGTAAATTGAAGATCAATGGATAAGTATTTTGAGAAAGTTTTTTACTATTAAAAAAAATAAGTATTTATTATTTTATTTTAAGATGAATAATGCATTTTTGATTGATATTTAATAATTTTAAATTTAATATAAAAAAATAAAAATAATTTAAATAAATATTAATAATAAATTTTTATAAAAATGTATTGTTCAACCCTAAATATAATAGTGATTTAAAAAAAATAAAAGAAGAGGATGCTTTATCTAGTCGGTACTTTTGCAAGATATAAATAAATAAATGTTTAAAGAAAAATAATTTGCAAGAAGGAAAGGGCATAATCGTAAAACAGGCAATGACGAAAAACTAAACATCGGTGTGAGGGAAAGAAAGAAGCTTTGATTGATCGGATAGGCCTGTACTTTTGAGCACAAAAGAAGATAAATGCCGCCTCCTTTCGTCTCTTACTCTGTCTTTCCTACTTCTATCAACAGCTCTCTCTCTCTCTCTCTCTCTCTCTAGATCTTCCTTGTTTTGGGTGCTGTGAAGAGCAAATCTGAGGCTCTTGTTTATCTTCTCTCTCCATCACTTTCCTTCTCTTTCTCGCTTCTTTCACAAAAGCCAAGATTCAAATCTCCCAAAACCTTCAAATTCCATTTATTTACGCTTTTTTTTTCTCTATATTGGGTATGTTCTTCCTTCCATCGTCAACTTATTGTTTTGGGAGCTTGGGATTTTAAAGGTATTGAAAAAGCTGTTTCTTTTAGTTGCTTCTTCTTCAAGTTCTTGTCTCACTCTGCTTAGAAATCAAGCTGAACCAGAAAATTGATGCTAAAATTCCCTCAGATTTTTCCTCTTCGTTTTAAAGTACGTCGACTTGAGCTACGTAGAATGGTTCTCTAGGTTAAATTCTAAGCACTACACAGCAGAACAAAATAGAACTGAGTTAAACAGGGCAAAACAGGGGAAGAATAGAGGAAGTTTCAATGGATTCAAGTACCCATCAAAGCTACCATAACCAAAACAACAACCAACCCAATTCAGGGCTATTACGTTTTCGTTCGGCTCCGAGTTCTCGTATTGCAAATTTCGTCGACAACCTTGATTATGGGGTTAACAAAGGTGGTTTCGACTCAGACAGATTAATATCCAGATTCATGAATTCAAGCCGCGGCGATAGCGAAATCGAGGATAAATCTGGGATAGAGGCGGCTGTTAACTATGCAAATTCGCAGCAGAGTTATTCAGGGTTACCGCCTCATTATCCAAGGCAGAGCTCTGCTACGAGCTCCTCTGCTATGGATAACTCATATGAGTTATTGGGAATGAATCATCACAGTCCAGGGAAACCAATTACTTCTAGCTTAATGAGGCAAAGTAGCTCACCTCCAGGACTTTTTGCCAACTTATCCGTTCAAAACGGTATTGTTACTGTTCTCATTTATTATTATCGATTTATTTTGTTGAGGTTTCTAATGCTTTGTCTGGAACATTTTTGTTTAGTAGTAGTTTAGAATTTTAGTTTTTCTAGTTCGATAGTTGTTTTTTCTTATCATTTAAGATTGGATAATGACCTGTACCCTTCAAACTTTAAAGTGTTGAAAATTTAAAATTTCGTATAAATTTTCTCGGCAACAAAGTATGAAGCGAGGATATTTGAGTTTGTATAGTGAATCCATAGTTAGGGGCTGGGATGAACTACTGAAAATGTTTTCAGTTAATTGCAGGCTATGCCATCATGAAAGATTTGGGAAAATACTGTGGGGTGAACGGTACTAATGGAGAAATAAGTCCATCTTCAAACAGATTGAAGAATCAGATCAGCGTCTCATCAAGACTACCTTCTTCCTTGGGCATGTTGTCACAGATTTCTGAAATTGGCAACGAAAGCATAGGGGCTAATAGCCCTGGTGATGGTAAACTTGGAAATAGCAACAGTGATGCTCGATTCTATGGCGCTGGATACCAATATGGTTCTTTGAATGATTCTGCAAACTTCACAGAGAATTTTTATGGCTTGAAAAGGACACGAGATAATGACCGGAAGTTCTTTTCCTCTACCCAGGTATAATGAAGTTGCATATCAACGATAGCTTCTTTTTTTTCTTAATTCCTCAAAAAAGATTGTAACTTCCTTAATTAATTCTTTGTTGCTGCATCCATTTTAACTTCTGAGTGATTCTTTGTTAATAGAATGGAGATCTTCGAAGTCGTGTTCATGTATTATCTCACCACTTGAGTCTGCCAAAGACTTCAAATGAAATGGTTGCCGTGGAGAAGTTTCTACGTTTTCAAGATTCAGTCCCTTGTAAGATTAGAGCTAAGCGTGGTTGTGCTACTCATCCCCGAAGCATTGCAGAAAGGGTTAGAAGAACCAGGATCAGTGAACGGATGAGAAAGCTACAAGAGCTTGTCCCCAACATGGACAAGGTGAGATTTTTTTCCTTAAACACTTTTAGACATAAAAATTTCTGTATTTGGAAACTGACCGATTTGGGGTTTTATTTTGGCAGCAAACAAACACAGCAGTCATGTTAGATTTGGCAGTGGAGTACATCAAGGATCTTCAAAAACAGTTCAAGGTACCGAAGGCGAGCCTAAGCTTTTCTAACTGAACATTCTTTTTTGATACTTTTGTTTTTCATCTTACACTTGCAATAATATTCTTATGCAGACTCTTAGCGACAATCGTGCAAACTGCAAGTGCTTGAATATCCAGAAGCCAGTCGCTAATCAAATTGTATGATTTGCTTTGCTTCTGTACGTAAGATGAGGAAAGTAATGGAGAGAAGGGTACAGAATTTTGGTATGCTTGAATTATTGCTCTTTTTTTGATGTGGTGAACCAAGTATGACGAAACTTTGAGATTTTTTTTTTCCTTTTTGTGATGTAAAAAGTTTGGGTGCATCCATTTCCATCACAAGATTCCAATCCTGTAAGCTAAGATAGCTTCCCGGTTGAAGGAATATGGAATAAAGAGAAAATTGAATAGGAAAATGTTTTTGTATTGCATTCCTCATTATCTTTTTCTTTTATACTTGAAATTGTCATAATTTAAAATTTGATCATTAAAATGTAAGATTACGTGATTACATGATTATTGGCAAAAAAAAAAAATTGTAAAATAGAAAAATTTACATTAAAAAAAGGGGAAAAAGGTAGGTTTATAAAGTTAATAAAAAGGAGCCACACCAAAATTCGGTGTCTATGCATTGCACCAGAACATTTCTTATAAAGTTGCAACAAGCAAAAGCCGGTAATGGGGTCCCGCACTGACCGTTGGTGTTTTCTCCTCTTAACAAAAACGCGTTCTCAGTAAAACCGAAAATTATCTTACCTTCTTCTTCCTCAAACCCTAACCCTAACCCTAATTTTCAATTCCCATCTTTACTTCTTCCCATTCACCATCATTCCTATTTTGACCTTCTCCACATATCTTACTTTGATCTATAATTAATCCATGGAAAGCTTCATTTCTTGTATATCCCGCCAGATCTACATGGTTAATCGTAACCACCTGTTTTATATGATATAATTATTTGGTTTTATGATCGAATTAATTTCTGGATTTTGAGTGGTGGATCAATTTGGGGGGAAATTTTTGGCTGGGTCCTGACAATGTCAAACTTGTATGGGGATTTTAATCAAAAGATTGATTATGTATTCAAAGTGGTTTTGATTGGGGATTCAGCAGTTGGGAAATCTCAGCTGCTGGCTCGTTTCGCCAGGAACGAATTCAGTGTGGATTCAAAAGCCACAATTGGTGTTGAATTCCAGACTAAAACCCTTGCCATTGATCACAAGACTGTTAAAGCGCAGATTTGGGATACTGCTGGACAAGAAAGGTAAGATTTTTACTTCTATATGCCTGAAATTTTCAATTAGTTTGTTTGCATAATTGTTAGGTTTGAGGAAACGAAAGAATTAGAATAGAAAAATGTAGAGGAACAATTATGTTGTTATCTTTTTACTTATTCCTGGAACACTTGTAATAGGCAGAACGTGTTTTACTATTTCAAGATAGGGAAACTAGGAAAATGGTATACATTGGAAGTGAGGTGGAACCGTTTCAATGGTGCATGGTAGGAAAGAAATAAGAATCAGATAGGAAAGTAATACCTTTTTACATATTTTTAATCTGATAGGAAATCCTTCATATCTAGAGGGAACTCAAGTTGCATCTAGATATAGTACTCTGGCTTACTTTCTGAATGTCAGTGATAGGTATGTGCTCTTTCCATTTTATCTGCATTGTCAAGTGTCTAACCAGACTATCATCTTGTTCATCTACGAGAACCCTTATTCTGCTTTCAGTTCTACCCTTCTCCTTCTTTATCGTGGTCATGAGCATACCATCTTCTCCAAATGGTATTTCATTTTGGATGGAAACTTATTTTCCTCCTGAATACATTTGCTTATCTTTTTATCTGCAGGATAGCAGATCTGATTAGAGTAATCCTCTTAGAAGTTCCTAGCAGAAAAGCTTCTACTTGGTCTTGTTGTAATCAGGCGTTTTTGTCTTGTGTCCTACGCTAACATAGTTTTGACATGTATGATAAATTTCTTCTTAGTTCATCTGAACAAACACAAATTTCTGATCATTGAGTAAACATGACACAGATTATACAGTAAATAATGTAAAACATTCACTCTTACCTACCCTACACTAGATTCTGTCTTCCATGGCTTGCCCTAGTGGTACAAATATCAATTCTATTTACCTCACAAATAATTATCGGAATTTTTTGAGACTTATAACAAAAACCTATATACCTGATATTCTTTGAGGCCCTTCAGTGTTCTTGACATGCTTCTTGAATTGTGGTGGACCTATGCAAAATTTTCTGTTTGCATCTAGAAAGTCTAATTAAAATGTGCATGCATCCTTTGTTTTCTATAGCTATCTGTTTTCTTCCTTCATAGCTTCAAGATTACCATTTCTTATCCTGAATGAAAAGCCCATTGAGAAGTGTCAAAAGCTCAGATGAAGCAGGCCTATCCAGTTCAATTCCTGAACATCTATTTTTGGGCACTTAACTGGCATTGTTTACACTATCAGCTATTTTTGTGTATCAGTGACTGTGAGTTTGCACAAGAATGGGCATGCATGTATTATGTGTGGGTATGTGTATTTCTTCTTACATGGATTTGTAGAACTGTTTGCATGCTTGGATAAATATTCACTTCCACTGGAAAACCACTTTCTCAACTTCTGCTTCTTGAGTGCATGGTACAGATACTCGTGTTCAAATCATGTATGAAGTAACAGAAGTTGACAATATTGCATTTTGTAAGACTTGTAATTGATGTGCCAACAAGATAATCATTGTAATTTAGTTTGAATTGTTTCTTTCTTTTTAGCGAGTCTAATAGCCCTGAATTGGTTGAAAAATAATAGAAATTGACCTCCTAGGCTAGCAATTAACTCACTGAACAAGATGAGCAGAGTAATATAGTTTGATATTGCTTTTTCTTTTTGCTGAATGTAATAGCCAATTGATGCCGGATATTTTAAATTGTAAGTGTTTGATAATATAGAGGTCTTGGAAACTGAAGGGAGAATAACAATCACAATCAGAAATCGAAAAGTGCACTTGGTGTTGTAGGAGAGAATTAGTGTTTAGCGAATTTTAATGGATCGTATTGAGTCATCTTTACTCAAGCTGATTGATGCTACATTGACAAACATATTTAGTTAATCTTTTGAGATTTTAAGATAAGTTCAACCAGATCAATGAGTTTATGTAATGGATTTATGACTATATAAAGTGAAGGAAAGTGAGTTTTTATCTCAAAAGATCCACAAGGTCTGCAGGAATTAGATTGAATCTATAACATAAACCCTCATTGGTATGTAGATACTCATGTTGAAAGCAGCATGCATGCTAAATTGTCATTATTGGTCATGGACGTTTCATCCAATCTAATAATGAAACACATCAATCGATGCATTAGCTTAAAGGAAGAAATGTGATTGACCAGTTTGTTTCGTTTGTTCTTCTTATACATTGATGATGACAATTGCTTTGCTTTGAAAAAATTAGTCACATCCTGCTGCAGCAGAGGTTGCTAATCTTTCTCTTTGACATGGTAATCTTACTGTTGGCTTACTCTATATGAAACAGTATGAAACTGAATCTTCTTTGGTATATGCCTAATTGCTTTAACTGATAGATTAGGGTCCCAAAAGCCAAAGTAACATGGCAATGGCTGATGCATTGAGAGTTCTTGGGACTGTGTTTTGTTGCATCGAGCTAATGCAATTTAATTGTTTCCTCATATTGTATGGTGTGCTTAAGTATCTTTCTTTCTTTCTTTCTTGTATCAGGTACAGGGCTGTGACAAGTGCATACTACCGAGGAGCCGTAGGGGCGATGTTAGTTTATGACATGACCAAGCGTCAATCTTTTGATCACATGGCAAGGTGGCTAGAGGAATTGAGGGGCCACGCTGATAAGAATATTGTTATCATGCTCATTGGCAACAAGTGTGACTTGGGGAGCCTGAGGGCAGTCCCAACTGAAGATGCACAAGAGTTTGCTCAAAGAGAGAACCTGTTCTTCATGGAGACATCAGCTCTAGAATCTACCAATGTTGAAACCGCATTTTTTACAGTTCTAACAGAGATATATCGAATAATCAGCAAGAAAACCCTTACTGCTAATGATGAGTTAGATCCCAATGGCAGTTCAGGTCTTCTTAAGGGAACCCGGATTATTGTTCCTAATCAGGAGCAGCGAACAGAAAGGAAAGGCGGCTGCTGTGGATCATCCTAATGTTGACAGCCCACCTTTGTTATTATTGATTTTTTTTTTTTACCAAACTATGTATTGATATATTTTTGCCATGTTTTTGATTTGTTAATTTAGGTTTATTTTTGTGTAATTCTTAAGCAAAATATATTAGTATTTTGTAGGAAAAGGTTATTAATACTCTTGGTTGACAGAACGAGATACTGATCAGCTCATTAAATTGGAGTGAATATATATATATATATATAATATTTAAGCGGAATTTATATTGAGATAAACCATAATATATATATATATATTTATATTGGTATTGATAAACCATAATATTATGAAACGAGGCCTACGTTACTACTAATATTGACTAGTGTAGCTTTTTGACTCTCAAAATGCGGCTTTTGGCTGGCTGCTTGTCCAATGCCAAACATTTGCTTTAAAAAGCTGTTTTTTGACGGTAATTTTTAAATCTAAAACTCATATTTTTGTGTAATTTTTTATAATTGTCTCATAATTTTTTTTTATAAATTTTAATATAATATAAATAGATAATACTAAAAATGATTTATTCTATACTTATAAAATATTTTAATTTTCAATAACTTTTTACATTAAAAAATCTTTAATCATATTTTTTTCACGACACTTAATTTCTTTTTTCAATAAAGCTTCTTCTAATGCCAAACTAAACCTAAATGCTTGTGTTTTTTTTTTTTTTTATAATTTTGCTTTTATTTATCCAAAGTAGCAAAATTCTAATATAATTCAACTAATTCTCAGCATATACAATAATTTATCAGTTTATTCTAAGTGCTCACAGTTTAAATTCCATGTATTACATAGTTATTTGTTAACATCTCATGCAATTCACCATAACCCATAAAACCTGTTCATAACTACTTTTATTTTCTCTATTTGCTTGAACTTCCTTTGATTCTTTTTTCTCCATGTCAAGCAAAGACAAGCATTCCATGTCACACGTAAGAGGATTGAAATCAGAGCTCTCCCCTTAAGCTTTTTCTCAACCCAATTTAGCTCCATTACACAAGCAACATTTGCTCTCAATCTCCATACCCCATTTTCTCAATCTATCCTTATTTGGGAGTCTATTCTAAATAACCATTCAGAAAATTAGTGCATGCTTTGAAATATGACATTTAAACCAAAGAATTCTATGCCATCCAATCTTCTCCCACTTTGGTCTGATTACATTTCAAATTACTTTTGTCGAGTAAAAGCACCCTGGAAATGGCCATACTTGTGTTGTTTCATTCTTAAGTAATTAGTAATTATTATTTTTTAATCATTAATAAAATACTCCACCTATCTTATTAGGATAATGAATCCCAATCTCAAGTTCTCAACTCTGATAAGGGCAAAAGAGTAACATTGAACAATTAAAAACGACCACACTTAACGCGCCTAAAGCCCAAATTTGAAACTTGAAAATAACGGCAAATTCCTTACACGTGCCAAAAAATTTCCCGAAACTACCCCTCAACTCCTTTCTCTGCCTATCATACCGCCCATTTTTCATTTTGAAAAATTTTCCAAATTCGCCTCTTTCCCAAACACCAAAGCTTTCTCTGTCTTTCCCCTTTTATCCTCTGCCGAGAGCCCCTTCATCGCCGTCAAACCTTATCAAGAAACCCCATTTTTTTCCTCAGTTGATAAGCAATGGCAGAGTCAAGAGATAGAATCACGAGACCCGTTGATCTGGCAGAAGTCTTCGCTCGAAGACGTTCTGGGCCTTTAAGAATCCTCTCAGATGAAGCACAGGAGTTGTTAGGTTCCCCTGTACAACAAGCAGTTACACGTAGGCCAATGGGTGTTGGTGTTACTACTTCTACGGCGCGTGGTGGAGGGCTCCGCAGAGGCATCGGTTTTAGGACCCCAAGATCCGGCATCAGACGTGGTCGGAATCTTTACCGGTCGCCGGCTGCTGGAAAAGAGAATACTCCGATTACAGCGAGTTCCACGGGCCGTGGGAGGGGTCGAGCTTCAGGCAGTGTGTTACCTTCTTGGTACCCAAGAACTCCTCTTCGGGATATTACTGCTGTTATAAGGGTAATGTTCGCCTTTTGTTCTACATTTCTTTATCTCTTCTTTGTCATGTCTTTAATTTTGGTTTTTATCTGTTTCTTTATTATTATTTTTTATGTTCACTTCCAAAAAAGAAAGCTTGGTTGGTTTGTTTAAATGCACTAGTTGGTTTCGCTAATGAGAGATTCTTGAAACTATAACTATTCAACCACTGATTTATGCACTTTCATGGTCTGGGTTTCATTTCCTTTGGTTGTTAGGTTTTGGTCACTCATTAAAGACATTTATTTACATTTTGTAAAAAACCTCCTTGGAGCCCTAAACGGTTAATGTTCATCTAATTGTCTTCATTTTTGTAAAGTGTGTTTTATTTGTCTCTAGGTTCCCTTAGTATTTCATATTCACCGATAGTCTATTTGCCTGTAAGGCTTTTCTAGTTCTCTGGATTTTATAGTTTTAACTGGTTCATGGATGCATACTGTTTGTCGGTCTTTATGCTATGTAATTTTCAGTATGATGTATTAGCTTCAGTTGTTTTAATTTCTTTTCCTTTATTTTTTTTCTCTAATTGTTGCTATTTGGCTTTCATCAGCTGAGTTAATGAGATTGCCATTCATTACACCGCTCTGATACAGTGTCCATCCCATGAAATAGCCACACTGGTGCCCTACCCTTTCAACCACAATTGAGTGCTTTATATAGCACATTAGATTCGGTGTTCAACTCGAGCACCGAACAGAATATTTCTGAGTCCGTCAAAGTTGGAAAGTTTTTAATATTTCTTTTGGTTTTCAATTTGAGGGAGAAGCCTAATTAGATTCAGGTTAGTTGGAGTCATAGGATTTTAGCTGAAATAGAGTTGATGTTTTCTTAGGCTTGTTTTGTTGAAATAATTAAATTTGATGAGGATTTAAGCAGGCCATTGAAAGGAGGAGAGCTTGTTTAGGAGAAGGTGAAGGCCCAGTAAATGAGAGCCCCATATCCCAGGATGAAAGGGTTCTTAATTCAAATGTATCATCAGGTGCTCAACTCGAGCACAATTTCTCTACTCCAGCTTCAACTGCCAGATTGAAGCCTTGTCCTTTATCAGTCCATAATGTGTCGAAGATTTTGCTTAATGTCACTAATCAGAATGTTGAGGAATCAGAGCATCTTACACCCCCAAAAAAACTTTTGAACTCAATTGACACTGTAGAAAAAGCTGTCATGGAGGAACTACAGAAAATGAAGAGGACTCCAGGAGCCAAGAAAGCAGAAAGACAAAAGAAAGTCCGCACACTGATGTCAATGCGTTGATCTATAGTGCATCATGCAACCACAAGGATTATAAAGACCATCATGAGAACAACTGGAAGGCTAGAGATTGCAAAACACCTTGCAGTGGAAGCTGGAAAATCATCCTCTGATGATATGTTTACGTTCTTGAACTATTACCAGATAGCATAGACACTTTCTATGTTTTTTTTTACAGGTTGACATATTGCTAAATGTCTTACTATAGGATCATCAGGAGTCAAATTTCCTTCAATCCTCGCTGAAGGTCCCGGTGTAAGCTTGATAAGCAATCATGCTTCTTCTATCCTTCATTCTTTGAAGGGACCAGTGTAGGAATAGGAGGATTGTGGTTCAAACCATGTAGATATACAACTTGTTTGGTCTTGCGCTCTAACAATTTTTGTTCAACATGCTTTATGGTTCTAATTGGTGCAATGTTTGGATGTTTCTGATTAAGATTGGGATTTCCCTTTTGCCTTAGCTAGCTGATCGTCTACTGCTATGGATCTTCCTATAGTTCTCTGGGTTTGTATCATGTCGTGTGTCTTAAACCCCTCATTTCATGCCGTTCTTATCCCTGGTTGTTTTGTTTTCAATGTCTAAATCACACAGTGCAAATGCTTGGACTGAAATTGGTATTCAACGGTAGTAACTCAAATAACACCGGCAAAGTGATGCAGCCGAAGATGCCAGTTGAATTAACATGTAAGGCAATTCAAAAAGGAAACTAGCTATTACTTTATTTTGGTGGTGAGTAAATATAATTATAACTATATAAGCACTGTTTTTTGTAGGATTTAATTTAGTAAAGAATAATTATATTGATATTTTATTAGTAGGGGGTTTTTCTAAATAATCAAATTTATTATTAATTTAATTTTTTCTGGTCAATTATTATTAACTTTAATTAATTAATCCTTGTTTTCATTACCTACCTTTTTAATTATTGTTTACTAAATTGAATAAATATAATTATATAAATGAAAAAAATATAATAATAAGAAAGCAAATAAATAGGGATTTTTCTTAAATTATTGCATTTTATTATTTTATTTTATTTAGCACATATTTATTTATTTTATTAAATTTAAAATATGCATAAAATATAATGAAGATGGACTATAATTATATTTGAAAACTTTCAAATGGCTATTGGGCTCAAAGGATAGATTCATAATTGGGCCTACTGAATAGACTTTGGATCGGGTTGGATCCAATTGACCCGGATGATTTTTTTTATCTTCTTTTAACCCAAAAGAGTTTATTGTTTGTTGGTTGGTGTTAATAATTTTTTATTATTTTTTTAAAGGAGATGAAATTTTTAAAGAAAATTCTTAAATTTCTTTAAAAAAAAAATTATGATTTTAATTTAAAAAAGAAAACCCAGATTTCTTTTTTGGGAGTTTTTTATTTTTTATATTTTGTGTTGTAAAAAACCCAAAGCACTATTTCAATTTCAAAACTACTTTTACATAGATTTGTGAAATAATTGCAAGGAGAAAAGAAGTACAAGACTACTAAAATATTATAATTAAGTTATTTTTTATCTATTTAAATTTGTAAGATAATTTTTTTTTTGTTTAAAGAGAAACAGAATCCTACAATAAGGGAGAAGAAAAAAATTAGGGTTGAACTCTAATTTTATGTCTTTTAAAAATTTATTTAACCACTAAATTAAACAGCTAAAAATAATTTATAAGATAATTAATCATCCATTATAATACTATTGAATTTGTCATTTGCATTGTACTAATTAAAATAAAATCTCTAGAATTATGGCGAGGTCCCCGCAGGTAATGATAGTGATTGATTAAAAAAAACCTAATGACAACGGATATGGACCAAATTTTTGCTTCGTACATGGTCCCTGCCCTGAGTCTCCCTCAACGTTTGTCATATGCAGGAAGTAAATTTTGGGAAACAAGATTCTCTTAATCTCATCCAACTCCAAGTTTTCAAAACATTAAGAGCGGCATTTAACAAATTCTTGAAATTATATCAATCGAATTATAGCTTTTTTTAATAAAAATATATGGAAAATGAAGAAATATATCTTCAAAAAAAAATAAATATAGGGAAAATAATACTTTATCATAAGCATGGATCTAGTATATATAGGGTATGAAAAGCAGTGGAAATGGAATGTATGGGTTAATTATTAAATGCACAAATGAGAAAAAAAAAAGTCTATAAAAGCATGTGAAAGCCCAACATTTACAAGCCCTCAAGAAAAGAGAAACAACTCTCTTAATTTGCTATGGCCATGACTTCCAGCGACATTTACTATTACCTTCAGTTTTTGATATGGTTTATCACTGCTCTCCTAATCCACTCTTTCATCAAAACTTTCCTAAAGTCTCATCGCACCCTAGTTCCAGACCCACCGAGCCCACCAGCGCTCCCTTTCATCGGACACTTGCATCTAGTCAGCTCAGTCCTGCCCGTATCTTTCCAAGCCCTGGCTCGACGCTATGGCCCTCTCATGCGGATCCGTCTGGGTGCGTCAGCTTGCGTTGTTGTATCCAACGCCACAGTAGCAAAAGAAATATTCAAAACCCAAGATCTGAATTTTTCTTCGAGGCCCGAATTTGGTTCCTCAGAATACTTCATTTACAGGGGCTCCCGGTTTGTCCTGGCTCAATACGGTGACTACTGGCGTTTCATGAAGAAACTTTGCATGACAAGGCTCTTGGCTGTCCCTCAACTAGACAAGTTTACCGATATCCGAGACCAAGAGAAGGTTAAGCTCGTGGAATCCGTGATGAAGTGTTGCAAAGAAGGAAAGCCTTGTGACTTGAGCAGCGAGTTCACAACCCTGACGAACAATACTATCTGCAGAATGGCGATGAGCACACGTTGTTCGGGGAGCGACAACGATGCTGCTGAGATTAAGGAACTAATTCGGATATGTTTGGAGCTTTCAGGGAAGATTAGTGTAGGAGATGTGTTGGGTCCTTTGAAGATATTGGATTTCTCAGGGAATGGGGAGAAGCTTAAGGCGGCTTTGCTGAAGTATGACCGGTTGGTGGAGAGGATCATTAAGGAACATCAAGAGGAGGCAATGAAGGGTTTAGATAAGGATCAAAGGAAGGATTTGTTGGATATTTTGTTGGAGGTATACGGAGATCCAACTGCTGAAGTGAAGATTTCAATGAAGGACATCAAGTCTTTCTTGCTGGTAATTAATTTCTACCTTTGTTAACTTGAATTTCCATGAACTTTACTTACTGGGCTTTGGGTTATTTTGGTAATTATATATCCTTAATTACTTCTACAATTTCTTAAATATAGAATTAAACTTGACTCTTTGAATTAAACAATACATGCACTTATATATTATTTGAAGCAAAAGCTGGTGTCACATAAATACTTTTGTATAATAGTCCACACAATTTTCTGTTAATTAATTGCTATATACTTAAATTTTCAAAACAAATTGTTTATCTAATTGATATTTTACTCTGCGAAATAGGATATATTCATGGCTGGTACAGATACATCCTCATCAGCAATGCAATGGGCAATGGGGGAGCTCATAAACCACCCAAAAGCCTTTCAGAAGCTTAGGGATGAGATCAATTCTGTCGTAGGACCAAACAGGCTAGTCAAAGAATCCGACGTCCCAAATCTTCCTTACCTTCGCGCAGTCATAAGAGAAACTCTCCGGCTTCATCCTTCAGCTCCCTTGATCATCAGGGAATGTGCTGAAGATTGCAAGGTCAACGGCTTCCTAGTGAAGGCCAAGACCCGAGTACTAGTCAATGTCTACGCTGTTATGAGGGACCCTGATTCATGGACGAATCCTGATGAATTCAATCCTGAAAGGTTCATGGAAAGCTCTGATGAGAGAATTGGAGAGCATCAGATGGAATTCAAGGGTCAAAACTTTCGGTATCTTCCTTTCGGGAGCGGCCGGAGAGGATGCCCTGGAGCCTCCCTTGCTATGGTGGTGATGCATGCAGCTGTGGGATCCTTGGTTCAGTGCTTTGATTGGGAGGTGAAGGATGGTGGCAAAGTTGATTTAAGCCCAGGGTCTGGGTTCGCTTCAGAAATGGCTCGTCCCCTTGTGTGTTACCCTATTGCACGTTTTAATCCTTTTTGAGCAACACCATGACAAAGTTCAAAATAAATATTAAGTGGAGCATTGTCTTTGGCAATTAGATTTTGTTTTAAAGTGTGTATTTGATTACTAAGTCTCCGAGTTGCAAACATTTGGGCTTTGTAGGTGATAACTATATACTTAGAATGTTTTTATATAGTTATGTGCTTTTACGATACAAGAGAGAAGTGAAATATATGAATTGATAATTTTTTTTTGGTAACTCAAGATCATATATTTAAAAAAAAAAAAACTTTTTTTTTCAAATACCATAGTCACTTGGTGAGTCTTATTATCCATTAATTATTAAAACTATGAAAATTCTCTTAAATATTATTTTCTATAGTAATCCCCGGCAATTCTTAATAAAATATTTTTGATATTATATATTTTTTAAAAAAATTTTTAAAGCATTTGTAGCAGCCATACAATGGGCCATGGCAGAGCTCATCAACCATCCAGAAGTATTCAAGAAGCTAAGGGAAGAGATTGATTCAGTTGTCCTGTTCAAAAGGCTAGTCAAAGAATCAGACTAGCCAAACCTCCCTTACTTGTAAGCAATCGCCAGGGAAACTTTGAGGCTGCTGGCAGCATTCTCCACTGCCTATTTTCCATAGGGAATGCACCAAAGGCTGCAAGATTAATGGCTATGACCTCCAAGTCAAGGATAAAATGTGATATACTTGATAATTTAAAACAGGTGATTATAAATCGTGCATTCGAAATGACCTTAACAAATAATCATCGATAAGATTTAAACTCAATATCTCTTCTTAAAAAAAGATAAACTTAATCAATTGAATCAATCACTTATCAATAATTTCATGTTGATTTGATAATTATATTTACGACTATAATTATTATAGAAACGTGAATTTTATCCAAAAAAAAAAACCTTCAACTTATATGCATCAGACACCAGTAAGCCATGCCAACCAGCTCACGACAATAAGTAGAATATATTTCATTTGATTTACATTTAATTTCATAATGGCCAAATTATAACGAGGGGGACCGTGCATACGATATGCAAGATCATACAATAAATTTTAAAAGTGTTGTATCAAATTTGTCATCCAATTCCAATAATCCAATCCAATTAATTAATGGTTAGTAGTACCCAAAAAAAATATAAATAAAATAGCAAATCAATTTCAGAGTTTGGGACCAGTGTCATTTTCTCTCAAGTATATAATTGATGACTAGCTTCACCCTTAATTTCAATAATTGGTTATATTTCATCCTAATTCAATTTGGCCCCTTACATGTTGATTGCAACAACTTAATTATGTAATATTGTACGTCAAATATATAATATGTTATCATGCTACCTCAAATTAAACTCCAAAAGTAGGGAAATAAAGAAATTAAAATTTTGTTTGTAACTTTGGAGATGACATTGTTAATCTTAATTGTTTAATCTTCAAAATTATAAAAAAAAAGTTTGCCTATTTATATTTTCTCTAAATTCTAATGGAACAAGTAAAGCAAGATGATGTGTAATAGAAAGAGATATAGACAGGAGTTACATCAAAAGATTTTGTTTTTAAATACTTATTATATATATTAATATATTTAAACCTTAACTGTTCCGTAAAAATAATTAAAAAAATAGTATAATAAATGATATAAAAAAATATGAAACTAAGTCAAAATAAAGTGGAAAATATTGCTATAATATTGTATTTTTCTATGACTTTTGGGGTAAAGATTGTTATTTATTTAATGAAATTAAAATTATTATTTATAAATATTAATAATAAAAATTATATAAAATGAAAATTTAAAAATATAAAAAATAACAATATCTATTTTCTTTAATTAAATAATTTCATCTATGCTCGAGAAAAAAAAATCATAATCTAACATGTAATAAATAGATATAAATATATCTCCTTAAATGTTGAATAATTGATGGGCTTTGTTTAAATGGAATGGAATGGAAGGACGGTGTAATATTTTTAATAATTTAAAATATGATATAGTGATATAATATAAATGTAATATGAAAATAATATGATTTAAAATTATAATAATTATTATATAAAAATTTAATAAAATTAAAAAATATTTTTTTTATCTTTATATTTATTCATATAAAATATATTATAAATACATAAATTTTAATAATTTATACTAATATAAAAATTACCAAATCTCTTATGTGTATGTGACGTGTGAGAAGAAAATTGAGTTAGATACGTATCATACATATACAAGTGAAGTAGATCTGATCATGGGCTAAACAATGAGACCAAGCCTACAAACTTAACTCGTTTTGAGTCAGGTTAGAGTAAAAGAATTTTAAGCCCGAGTTTGGCCCATCCAATATTGTTATTTTCTTTATATATCAATAATATATACTTTAATTGAAATTTGATTTAAAATATTATAATTTTTTTATATAAAAATATTTTCATTGTTTTAATTAGGCAATCAGTCTCTACTAATTTGAAGAACCTTTTTTTTTTTTTTTCCTTTACAACAAATCATTAAAGTTGCAACATTTATTGCGGCAATCCAAGGCAAAGATGCTCCAAATTTCAAAAACAACTTTAGCTCTGCTTAAAAAGATATGCACAAAAATTTCTGACAAAAGAAAAAAAAAACTACCATTATTTTATTATATGAGTTTAAATTATATAAGATGATTTTAAAATTCCATTGAAATAACATTATATCATAATTTTATAAAGGTGCATAACTACTTATATACATACATCAATCAACACTTAGTGACTTCTAATTAATCTTATTTTAACTATAATTAATTTTGATTATAAACTTCCTTGAAAAACTACTAATTATTTTTTTTGGAAAACAAAAAAAAAAAAAAAATCCCAGTGTTGTTATTACCCCAACTTTAGTTCCTCTTTTGCTTGGGTAATTGTCTCCATTGTTGAATGGCATGTGGGGCTGATCAAAAAATCATTTTCTCTATTTGTTGCAAAGGATTCACGGAAGCTGATTCATCTTCTGGTTAGTGACAATCTCATAATTAGAAATATCAGTCTCTCTCTTTTTTTTCTGTTAATTTCTTCATGATCACTTGACATTAAAAAAATGATTAAAAAAAAAAAAAACTAAGGAATGCTCAGGTTGAGGTGACACCAAACTCTTACTTGAAGATGCCAGCAGGAAAGAACTAAATTAAGATTGGAATAAAGATGGAGAATAAATGGGCAAAAGCATCTTTGTATGTAAGGTCATGTGCCCTTAACCTTTCTTTCTGCTTTACTTTTTGCTTTTCTTTTAAGCTCTCTCATCACACAATTTCATTTAAAAGCTCATTCAATTTCCTTGACCTATTTTGCTACCTTTACTTCACCACTAGCTGTGTTTCAGAAAGAGGAAAACTGTCCACAATCAGAGGCCATCTGCAAAGTGATGCTATGCAACTAAGCTAAAATCACTAGGATACCCTTTTCTCAGCAGCATCCAATTTGTTTAAGCTTCTTTTTTTTGCTTTTGCAGTTTGACAAAATTTTAGCAAAGTTAGGAAAGCTTAAAGAATCTTGGAAAGTGAGGATGCACTTAGTCTTAACCCTGTATTAAAATATTAAAAAGGTTATCTTTGTCCACCCAAGTAGGTCATCCATCGACTATCTTTTGCTGGTACATGGAATTCTAGGAACTAACTCACCAGTGTTCTCTATGTTTTCAGATTTATGTATGGATGGTCATGTTTTGCAATGCCTTTTCCTTCAAACAATTAATCTTCAATATCAGCCTTGATCTTTCTTTTCGCTCACCTTTGTTTCCTTTGAACAATAAAGATTCTTCTTCTTATCGGTAAATTAAAGCAGCAGAAAAGGTGTAATGAGGAAGGTAGCAATGCCTCCAAAATCATGAGATTGAGAGAAAATTCTGGTGGGCAACTTTCTTGGGAAGATAAGAATCGATTGTTTGAATGCAACTGTACAAGTCAATAAAGGAAGTAGTTTGATAAATTCCAATTATGATAAATGCCAATTAGAAAAGTAGTGGTTTTTTCCTTGTATGCCGAGGTGAGTTATGGGAGCTTCCATATATTTTGGGGTAGCATTGGTAACTGTCTTCCCTGTCCTTCAAGAAAAAAAACCCTTCTTCCAATTTTCTTTTTTATGCCAATCTTTCGGCTTCAGGTACTAAAGTTAGAATAGAAGTATACTGGTACAAAGCAATCATTTTCCGGCCAAAACCAGCATAAGAGGTGAGTTAAAGTCTTGCACAATGAATCCAGCGGCTGCTGCTAACCAGAAAGAAGAGTTCAAATTGAAAGACACAAAGCCCCAGCTAGGAGAACGATGGCCTCATGGAGGAATGCGCGGCGGAGGTGGTTGGATTAGCAGTGAAAGAGCAACAAGCACTTATGATCTCGTTGAACAGATGTTTTATCTGTATGTCAGGGTTGTTAAAGCCAAAGATCTGCCCACTAATCCTGTCACCGGAAACATTGATCCTTATGTCGAAGTGAAGCTAGGGAATTATAAAGGAAAAACACAGCATTTTGAGAAGAAAACAAACCCAGAATGGCAGCAAGTCTTTGCATTCTCAAAGGAGAAGATACAGTCTTCAATTCTAGAGGTCTTTGTCAGAGACAAGGAGATGGTTGGCCGAGATGATTTTATAGGAAGGGTGATCTTCGACATGAATGAAATACCTACAAGGGTTCCACCTGATAGCCCTTTGGCACCACAATGGTATAGATTAGAAGACCTTCGAGGGCATAGAAAGGTGAAAGGAGAGGTCATGCTTGCAGTCTGGATGGGAACACAAGCCGATGAAGCTTTCCCGGAAGCCTGGCACACAGATGCTGCTTCAGTTCAAGGAGAGGGTGTTTTCAATATCCGATCAAAGGTTTATGTCTCTCCAAAACTGTGGTATCTCAGAGTGAATGTTATTGAAGCTCAGGATTTGGAGCCACATGACAGAAGCCAATTACCACAGGCTTTTGTTAAGGCTCAAGTTGGAAACCAAATACTCAAAACCAAGCTATGTCCCCAGAAGACAACAAACCCCATGTGGAATGAAGATTTGTTATTCGTAGCAGCTGAACCTTTTGAGGAGAAACTGTATCTAACAGTTGAAAATAAGGTGACCCCTGCAAAAGATGAAGTTATGGGGAGGATAATCTTGCCCCTCCACATCTTTGAAAGGCGCTTGGATCATCGGTCAGTTCATTCTAAATGGTTCAACCTCGAAAAATTTGGATTTGGTGCTCTGGAGGGAGACAAGAGGCACGAACTCAAATTTTCAAGCAGGATTAACCTTAGAGTCTGTCTTGAAGGAGCTTACCATGTGATGGATGAATCAACCATGTATATAAGTGACCAGAGGCCAACTGCGAGGGAGCTTTGGAAGAACCCAATTGGAATCCTGGAAGTGGGCATCTTAAGCGCTCAAGGTCTTCAACCCATGAAGACCAAAGAGGGCAGGGGAACCACAGACGCTTACTGTGTAGCTAAATATGGGCAGAAGTGGGTGCGCACGAGAACTATAATCGAAAGCTTCAATCCTAAATGGAATGAACAATATACTTGGGAGGTCTATGACCCTTGCACAGTGATCACATTGGGAGTTTTTGATAATTGTCACTTGGGTGGAAGTGAAAAACCAGCTTCAGGCAGTGGAGGTAAAAATGATTCCAGAATCGGAAAGGTAAGAATTAGACTATCAACCCTGGAAACAGATAAAATTTATACAAATTCTTACCCTCTTCTTGTTCTACAAAAGTCTGGATTGAAGAAGATGGGGGAGCTTCAGTTAGCAGTTAGGTTCACATGCCTCTCTCTTGGACATATGATTTACCTCTATTGGCATCCGTTGTTGCCAAAAATGCATTATTTGCATCCTTTCACTGTAAACCAGTTAGATAACCTGAGATATCAGGCCATGAACATTGTTGCAGTGAGGCTTGGCCGAGCTGAGCCACCACTGAGAAAAGAGGTTATGGAGTATATGTTGGATGCGGATTCCCACATGTGGAGCATGAGAAGAAGCAAAGCTAACTTCTTCAGAATTGTCTCCCTGTTTTCGGGTGTGATAGCTATGAGCAAGTGGCTTGGCGAGGTTCGCCACTGGAAGAATCCTGTCACTACGATTCTAGTACATGTTCTGTTTTTCATATTGATCTGTTATCCAGAATTAATCCTGCCAACCATCTTCTTATACATGTTTCTTATTGGGATTTGGAATTACCGACTTCGGCCAAGGCATCCTCCTCACATGGACACTAAGCTTTCATGGGCAGAAGTAGTTCACCCAGATGAACTAGATGAAGAATTCGATACTTTCCCAACATCCAAGGATCAAGATGTAGTGAGGATGAGATATGACAGACTTAGAAGTGTGGCAGGAAGAATTCAGACAGTGATAGGAGACATTGCAACTCAGGGGGAGAGATTTCTGGCTCTGCTGAGTTGGAGAGACCCTAGAGCAACCAGCCTATTCGTACTATTCTGCCTAATTGCAGCAGTGGCACTGTATGTGACACCATTTAAGATAATGGCTTTGGTCGCAGGCTTATTCTGGCTACGCCATCCCAGATTCCGGAGCAAGCTGCCTTCAGTACCAAGCAATTTCTTCAGGAGATTGCCTTCTCGAGCTGATAGCATGCTCTGAAAATAGTTGTTAGTTTCACCACCTTTTCTATTTTTTTCTCTTTCAGATTTCCTTCATTTTCCTTCCAATAAAATTATTTGGTTATGTCCTATTGGATTTGTTTGTCTCACATTTAATTTTTTTGTCGTTTTATTTTCAAATTATGTGGCTCCAATGAATTGAACCTTCCTGAGGTAATTACACTTTTCGAGCCATAAAACAAATACCTGCATCCAGCTTGATAACCCACAACCAGAAAACAGCTTTTAATACCTCCAAACACTATCATTAATGATAGAACCAGTAACAAGCGTACATCTTCATTCCACTTCTAACCCGACATGAGAATTGGCAAATCCGAAAGGAGTACCAACTCAACGTATCTAGTGGCCATGAATCAATGGTGCCTCAGTTAGCCAGCACAAACTTCTGTACCACAAACTAAAAACCTACCAGCTACTGCATAACCAAAAGGTATATATTCAATCAAGTAAAAAATTGACCAGAAAATTAATCAGGTTCCAATCAGATTAGCACAAAACAATAATATGAAAATTTGAGGTTCTTGCATAAGAAAAGAGGTATCCAAAAATTTTGGTTTTCCCATATAGCATCTGATAATACAACCACTGATACTCTAAACCAAAGGAATATCAAAGGGAAGCACTTAACTAAATGCAAAATTCCCTCTAAAAAACAAGTTCATGAGGTTTCATGCCAGACTTCAGAGAAAATCTTGCAGCAAGGTAGGCCTTCAAGTCTGGGACTCCCTCAATGGACTTTATTAAAGAGGCATCTACAGCTTTTTGGTCTTCTTTCTTGTCCTCTGGCAGTTTCTTCTTATCCTATAATTTTTTGAGGAAAAGTATGAGAATAGACAATCAGCACCTCAAATTAGATTAACCTGATTAGGACAGCTTAAATTATAACAAATGCAAAATAACTAACTAACCTCTTTTTCAGCTTCAAAAAACTCTCCCTCACCCTTCTTCTTTTTCTTCTCCACTGCCTTGGCAAAGTACTTGTCATCGAACTTCTCTATGTTAACTCCTGAGATGTCAACCTTGGTGGAAGTAGCAATGACATAGGATTGGTTCACACGCCTTAAAGGAACACCATTGATCTTGAATGGTCCTGCACCCGAATTTAAGCAAAGCACTAGAACAAACCATGAAAATTTCAAAAAAAAAAAAAAGAATCACCAGCCACTAGTTAATGACAAAAAACTACAAATAGTGATAACCTAGCCCCCCTAAGCCACAAGAGGCAAACGTAGATACTATGTCCAGAAACAGAACGAATATAATATAACCTTGTGCTTCTTGAAAAACAAGAAAAAATCAGTTTAAGCATATCCATATTCCATGCAACACATTGATACAGATGAAATAATACTCGAGAAATCAATAAGAAATATTTTTAGAACAGCAGTCATACATTAAATTTATATTTGAATCAAGCAAAAATCATACTTTATTTGTTAACTATAAGCTTCAACTGCTTTAAGTATGTGTTTGGTACGCAAGATTATGATAAGATAGAATAAAATAATATTATGAATAAAATTAGATTAAATAGTATAATCTTATCTTGTGTTTGATGTGTGCAAGGATCAAGATAGGATAATTTATTTATTGATCAAAATTATCTTTCCTCAAAGTTTATATAATTTAAATTATTGATATAATTTTTAAAGATATAATAGGACACATAAGTTCAATCCCATTGATTAAAAATAATCCTTTTCACTTTGGGATGATTGAATCATCCTATACCAAGAGGATGATTAATGCCCCTTGTAATGGTATCTCTTTCTTTAAATACAAATCAAACATAATATAGAATGATTATCATCCTATGCACCAAACATGACCTAAAATTACACTTGCAGTCACTGATTTCATTTCATCAAGAAAAATTACAAATAAACATTCAGCAAAAAAGAAAAGGGTCAATAGCAAATAAGGGACAGAGGTAAAAAATGTTCTAAAAATTCTTTAAACAAACAAAATTACTATGAAACAAAAACAAGGGAAAAAAAAACAGACCAGTAACCAAAAGGAGCCCAGAAGCAAGTTGCTTCAAGAAAACAACTCTCTTCCCCATAAACCTCCCAGCCAACAAAATCAAAACCGTCCCTGGAGTAATGCTTGCTCTAAACAAATAAAACAAAAACACAACAAAAAGAAGCAAATCTTCAGAGATCTACAAATAAATAAATAAATAAATAAATAATCCATTTGTGAAAAAGAACCTGAGCTTGGTTGGCTTAGGCTTGCGCTTATTGAGGAGCGGCTTCTTGACATCATCAGCCGGGTAAAACTTGGGTGCCTTCTCGGCGGCAGCGGGGGGCTTAGGTTTCGGGTCATGGCGGGGAAAAACGCCGCCGTTTTTGGCCTTGATGGCCCAAAGGCCACGCTTGTGGTACATCTTAGACCTGGAATACTTGCCTACACCACGTATGAGATCTGGGTTTCGGGTCCTAACAGGGGTCTTCCTTTTCGCCGCCATTTCGTCTATACCCTATGCTCTGCCGCTGCTCCTCGTATGGCGTCTAGCAAATATTTGGACAACTGATTATAGGGTTTTTAAGGGTTATCTTGTTTGAGTTCCAAGTGGCTTTGGGTTTTGGGCTTTTTGATTGTGTGGGTTTTGGGGTTAAAACGAACAAACAAATAGTAGAAATGAAAGAACAAGAATTGACTGCCCAAAATCACATTTAACGGCCCAATTACTTTTGATTAAAGATAATAAATTTATATAAATATTAATAATATTTTATTTATTTATAAAAAAATAACTAAATTATTAAAAATATTAATTAATTAATTAATTAATTTTTAATATATAAATTATGTAAAATATTTGAATTAAAAAATAAAACTAAATATATTAGAATTATAACAAAAAGGAAACCAAAAATTATATATTCTTTTATCAAATCTTTAAAAAAATGTAAAAAATATGTAATTTATTTTTGAATGTAGTGCAATAAATGTTAATTTGAAAAAAAAAGTAAAAATTTTTGATTTAAAATAATTAAAATTTGAAGAGAAATCAAGTTTTCGATTAACATATCATTGCATAGCTAATATCCACTACAATTAATTTTACATATCATTTTATTTAATGATAAAATTTTATCAATATTTTTAGATAAAAATTAAATCATTCAACAAACCCAATGATCCAATCTCTTTTTATCTTAAATTACTGTTTTGTAAAATTATCAATTTATTACCAAACAAAATAATTCAATCATCATATATAAAACTATAAATCTTTATGTTTTTGAGAGTGATGGTCTCATGGGAAATACTTCCTTAATAAAAACTATGTATTAAATGAAGAACATTTCCGAAAATATAAGCTGAACTAACTTTAATAATTGTCTATAAAACCTATTAACAAGATCCAATAAATATACTTAGAAACTAATATAAAATTGGACTGTACAGCACATATGTGGTGAGACTCAAACCTGTAACATAAAGTTTCTTTTCTTTATCGTTAAAACAATATTCCATTGATAAAAGAATCTTCCATTGAAGGCCCACAAGAACCGGCAAAACGAATAAGATGATGTAGCTGGCTTTCAACAAATAAAAGTAGCCGCCGTCTGTGGGAATCGAACCCACGACCACATGGTTAAAAGCCATGCGCTCTACCGGCTGAGCTAAGACGGCCTGACAATTGTTTTAAGATGGTTGTATCCTTTTTTTATTCTAATTGAAGAGTTGAAGTGTTTTAGTAGGCTTATATATGACTTTTTTTCTTGTACCTTTCAACTTTTAAGAAAGAAAATGTGAAATATATGATAACTTGCAAAAATCAATACAATTCGCTAATATCATCGTCAATTAAGAGACCCAAATATATGATCAGATGGCCATAATTAAATTGGACTAGAGCTTAATTGCTTAAATGGTTTTTAATTACTTGGAAATACAATTACATGACCCTTCGTAAATAAAGGCCTATTTCAAATTTGAAAGGAAGCATGTCATTTAATTGCAACTATGACTAGAAGAAATTATCATTTGACTAACCCAGCTAGAATTAGTAAAACAATTGAATTTAATTATGATTTGACTAATTAAGTAGGTTGGGACTTGGAAGGGATTTATCATTTATGATTATGAAAGACAAAAATGCAAAACCCCATCACCCCCAAAGGGCAAAAACCAACAAAGTCCAAAAATAAAAGTAAGTATGTCAGAATTCAGATTCATCTTTGGTTTTTTCGATCATGACCCCGATTAAATCTTCCATGCAACAACACACATTAGCCAAATGGACGTTTGTATTTCAACACTTGGCATCCCCTCTTCTTCTTGAAACGAAACACGTTTTGTCTTTCTTCCATAAGCGCAAAAATACACTGAAAATAAATAAAAAAAAGGAATCAAACCCTCTTTCTCTATTCTCAATGCCTTTTCTTCTTCTTAACCAGTTCTATCTCTTTCTAATCAGTCAGAAATGGCTGCAAAAGCATTGTTTTTTTTTTTGGATTTCTTTGTCCAAAGAAGAAAAATCAGTATAATGAGAGAAACTTCTACTACTTTAATTTAAATTTTGATCTATTCTTAGTCAATCTATGTATACATGCATCTCTCTGTAGAAAGGTGAAAATCATAGTTAACAGTAAAAAGACATGAAAGTGGCTATGGCCTAGCTAGGGTTTCTATTGTTCCTGCTGAGGGGCGAGTCAACCAGAGAGAGCTGAGAGCTCTTAGGCGATGGAAGTACTCTGCAATCGCCAGCAAACACCTTGCAGCTTGACGGGTCGTCAGGATTTGATGCAGCCGGTGTATGGTTTGGTGCCTCAGATTATCTGCCTGTAAGTGTTTTTTTTTTTTTAATTTTTTAAATGCAAATTATTGGAAATATATACTAAAGGAAAAGTTTTCTACATACAATGAAGAAAAAAAAAAGAATAATTAGAAATGAACAAACATGTCAAATATGTAAAATCTGTACTAGTTGAATCTAAAAATAACACCATCAGCTAGCGAATAGCATATTAACATATGTTCCTTAAAAAGTAACATTAAGACTAATTAAAATGGATTAAACTTGACTTTGAGTGTAGAATAAAGAATGACTTTGTCGCACTGCATGGGTGTTTTGATTGTGAAATGGGGAAAGAAGGGAAGTTGAAAATGATATAAGAATATTTTTCATTTTATTTTCTTGCTTCAAATTACTTGTAGGGTATGCCTTTTACTTACCATGTCTAGAAGGTTTTGACAGAAAATAAAAGATAATTACTTATTAATTCATTTTCAACCAATCCTTCAAAGACACTTAAAGATAATAATATAGTACTTAATAAGAAAACCAGAAAATTTTACTTACCAAACATAATGATGGTTACTGTGACTTCCTCTGATTTGATTAGTAAACAATTCTATTGACCAAACATCAAAATTATTGAAACTCTCAATCTCTCATGGTTTTTCTGAGTGTAGGATCATACTTTTCTAAAGGCTAACCGCTTCTTTCCAAATGTTAGGCCCCACCTACCCTAAAATTACGAAGTTGATTCTCTTTAATTAGAACCCATCTCAAGGATCAATCAAGATCATCTATTGGTAAAAAAGGCTTAATCGTTTTTTTAAACATAGAAGAATATACAATAGCTAATGAGACTAAAAATTTTTACATTCCAACATTTAATTTAATATTTAAGGCATATTTTTATTTAAAAATTTAAAATTGAATCTCTCATCCTTAATATCAAAAGAAAACATTTTCTTTTTATTCACATTTAATATCAATCTTATTACTCGAGCTAATTTTAAAGACTAAAGTTAATAGGTCTCCTTAGCGTAACTCTAAGCTTAGTGTGAGTGGACTAGTTTTAATTAATGATGGATGGAAGTGGCTAGAGAAGGCAAAAAAAACTCGTACCCAACGGGTTCTGGTCCGACCTGACCTTTTGAGGTCGACTTTTTTTTTTTTTGAAAATCGGGTATCAGATCTGGTCGAGTCGGATGGCATGACGAAAAAAAAATCGATGTCGGGTCGGGTCGGGTTTAGGCAAACCCGACTCTATCCAACCCGATATATATATAAATAATTTTTTAATTAATTTTTTAATTTTTTATTTATATATTTATATAATGATATTTTTAAATATTTATATTTAAAAAATAATATTTTATATTTAAAAAATATTTTATTAATTTTGAGTCGGATCGAATATAATTTATACAATATCGGGTCGGAATCGAATTCAAGTATAAAAAAATAAAAAAAATTTTGAATAAAATCAAATTCAAATTTATTAAAATATTAAATTGGATTGGATTCGAGGCGAGCAAAACTCATTCGAACCTACTCGATCCTAACCTTAGAAGTGGCTGTCAATGTGAAGCCATGGACACATAAAGCGCGGGGGGGGGGGGGGGTGGACTTGGCCTTAGTTAAAGAATGGTCAGAAAAAGGAAGTAATAGGAGATGGTCTTAAGTATTTAAGTCAAACGGTTACGACCATGACATCACGAACATATGGGGATGAGGGATCTCTTTGGACGTCCGTAAATATTATATATATATATATATATGCATTATTTAAGGGGTCCCATTAGCATGTGAAAATGCAAATATTCTTAAGGTCAATTGGTCGCTACCATGCTTTCATATTAACTATTTACATCAGGTGACAACTTCATTAGTTTCCTAGTGATTAGGTCTTAACAATTGCGAAATCGACACAACGACAAACTGCCTTGCATGCTTTAATTAGGCACAGATAATCATTTGACAGAGAGATCTGCCCATTGTTTCAATGTTAATGTCCACTTAGTACAATTAATAACTCCTAGAACAAAATAGAGCTTTCTTCTATAAGTGTTTTAAGTTTTGAATCCTATAGACAGATCAGATACTAGCTACACTATTGCAGGCATGGGCTACATTTTAATTAAACCAGAAACCTAAATGTCTACTGCATACAAATGTCACTTTAAAGAAATGCATGAAACCTACAAGCATTTTATGGAATGGCAGATATATATATATATGCCTTGTAGATAATAACTATGTTAATGGAATTATGTAACCTCCAAGCTACCTCGTGAGCACGAGAAGACATGGGTGGGGTAGTTTCATGGAAAACGTTGATTTTGTGGTTAGGTTTAATTCCCAACAAGATTCTTTTCTCACACCCATATTTGACCCCATGTTGGTGATGATGAATTGTCGCATCATCGTACCATTCATGGGGCCGGGTCCTGGGGCTCCACAAACGCATCAAATAATTAAAATACTTATAATAAATATACAAAGAGACTAATGCATGTAGATGATCATCAAGCAGGTTGGCTTACCTGTCTAACAAAACTTTCAAGGGTGGAGAGCTTGTTCATGGCGATAGCCATTTGGCCCATGTAGTTAGTCATATTAGGAGGGCAGCTCAGTGAATCAGAAGTTATAATATCAGAAAGCGACTGATTCAGAGCTTCCAAGCCTTGTGATAGAGCTTCTTCAGCATCAAGCGTCGATTGCTGCAATGCACATATGCCCATTATCTGCTGCTCCGTCAATGGCTCAATCTGATTCAGTATAACCTGGAACAAAAAAAGAAAAAAGATTAATGAGTAATAAAAATCATATCCACAATCAAAACATTATCTCTAATGCGGACAAAAGCTAAATATTCATAAAAAAAAAAAAAAGATAAATCATTCTTCGTTCTTCTAGCTTTATTGTGCAACTACAGTTTTGCCAATTTGCTTATTTGTTCACTTCAAACCAAACATAAGAGATGAATATGAAAACAAGATCCTTGATTTCCGTGAAGGAGAAGAAAAGGTAGGAGAAGCAACAGACGGCAGTTCTCTCTTCTCTACTGCCGCAAACTGCAGTAACAGACATAGCTTGATCAAAAAGACAAATAACCAAATCTTTTTAGAGAAAAACCTTCGATGCCTTTCGTCATTACGTGGTGTTTTTTATTTTTGTTAACCCTCTATAGTTTTGCTTGTCACTGCCACCAATAAATTGCATCTATGCAATTAAAACGTACTATTTGCCTCCTGTCTTATCTCATTAATATATCCTCATATTTCGATAAAATCTTTAGTGTATCTTCTTTCACTCATATACTCCAAACAAAAGGAACACAATTCTTCTGTATAAATTTTTTGTGTCAAATGAAGTATATCCTAAGAAAGGCGTCATACAATCCAAGCTTTTATATAGAAAAATAAGATATAAAAATATAGAGGAAAAGGAATCTAATTGGTAGGAATAGTAATTACTTTTTAGTCTTTTTGACGAAATGTAGATTTGAAGTTAGTATTCCAAGCATTGAATTATTCCAAGGATAGGGTTAGAATACCTTGATGAGCTCAGAAGGCCGAAATCCACCCATCCACATGAAGCATCGTTCGGCTGGAGTCTTCCACATGCCAGACACAAGATGAAAGACATCCGTTTTGGCTACCATGCCTTTTAGGTTCATCACCTCGTCGAAGTGTGCTAAACAGTTGTCGACGAAGATCCGAAGCTCGTTCTCCGGTAGGTGCTCTTGAACGGCTGCTCGGAGCTCGCAGATGAGTCGATGATGCTCTTCTAGCCATCTTGCATACTCCATGTCAAACACAGCAGCATCTGAAACATAAAAATATTTCATTTTATATATATAGCCACTAAAATTAAAAGAATCTAAAAGATGTAAAAGAAAGAGAGATAATTTATAGTATATAACCTGAGCTTATGTTGTTAGTACCAACAGGAAGGCCTTGCTCTCCTACCAGGATATTACCACCACCAAAAAACATGCCCTAAACGGCAAAACAAAATTTTCACACGTATACTCGGATATTCACAGATAAACCATATTAAAAAGTTTAAAGAAAATGTCTTACGTGAGCTCTAGCTCTTTGAAGTTCTTGTTCCAGTTGGGTAAGCCTAATCCTACTTGACTCTAATTGCTGAACATAAGCCTGTGTTGATATTAACAAGAAAAATAGATAAAGGACCCCAGAAATAATGCTTTTGAAAAAAATAATATGTAGCTAACAAACCAATACTTGAATTAATTTTTTCTACAGGCTGACCTTTTTTCTAAGCCTGCTTTTCCTTGCTGCCTCTCTATTCTGAGCAAGTCTTCTCAATGTCTGCTTGGAAATGATCAAAACAAATTACATACATTCAGCATCTGCAATAGAAAAAAGGTAGTAGAAAGAAAAAAAAAAAAAGTAGGAGTGAATGTCTATAAAAAGAGAGGCAAAGAATTCACCTTAGGGTCTGGTGTTTTGGGTCCTTCCTGCTCTGAACTTGATGTTTGCCCTTTACGGCTCCCTTCACGCTGCCAAATTTAAAACATGCATAGTTACAAGATTCCATCCTTTTAGAAAAACAAAATCAAAACATGCGAATCTCAGTTTTTAAATAAATAATAATACTTCAGATTTCTTCTTCCCGATTTAAATATATGTATAAAAAAAAAAACATATTTCTTTTTTATGTTAAGAGCCTATCATACCTTGACAGATTTAGCTGGCTGATCTGGTGCAGAAGCTGAAGCATCATTCCTGGCGTTGGCCAACTCCATGAACGGCTCTGATGGTCTCTTTGAACCGCTAGTTGCTGGAGAAACTAATCCTGTACTTGTCTACCAAATACAAAACAAATCCACTTAGAAAATTAGTATTTAAATAATTGTACTAACATAAGTTTTACCTTTGTTGATGATGGTGGCTCAACGTGCATAGGCTGTGAAGGGAAAATATTCAGAGTCGGAGGTCTCATTCCAGAGTTATCTGCATATATAAATTCTCACAAGCATTAACGCAAACTTCTCTTACAGGAAAAATTCGATCGAGTCCATGAAAATAGAAAAGAAAGAGAGCAAAACGAGTGAAAAGCTGATTAAAGCAGGACCCTAAAGAAAGGGAAGGGAGACACTGGCAAGAGAAGTATATAAAATATGAAAGAAAAACATAGGGATCGTCATGCATTTGTAGCTTTGTTCGATCAAAACAGAATAAAAGTAAGAAAGGAAGGAAAAAAAAATTGCAAAGAAAACCCATACCCCTACAGATACACTTTTTGGCACATGTATAGAATTTTTGCAAGGAATTCATGATCATAGAGTTGTTTGTTACATGTCATGGTCCAAAGTTACTCATAACATGATATTAACTAATAAAATAAAAAGGTTGAAAAAAAAAGAATTTCTCTTTCTTTGAAAATTTTAGCTCTTTCTTTTGTTTCTTTCAGAGATTTGTTTCTGAAAGGATCTGGTCAAAGAAAGTACTGGCAGATTAAATCTGTTGGAAACATGAACATGCTTTTCCTGTGACCAAAGCAGGCCTGTCCGAAAAGATTCTTCATAACAGAAGCTTCAGAAAATGAAAAGAGAAGGAGAGAAGAAAAAGAAAGAGGAAAGAAAACCCTTTGTTTGTAGTCTTTGAAGTAAACAGTGAAAAAAAAAAAAGGGAAAATTTGAGAGAGAGAGAGAGAGAGAGAAAACACTCACGTCTTTGGTCTTGAATACTGGACGGTTCTTGTCCATCAAGATAGAGAAAAAGGGCTTGATCTAATTCACCCAAATCATATGCTCCAGTATCTTTGCTTCTGCGTACCCCAAAAAACAAACACAAAAAAATTTTCAAAAAACAGTTTCATGAAGAAAAATGAAAAGAAAACTTTTGTGTTTGTAAGACCTAGGTAAGTAGAGACAGAAACAAGATGAAAAAGAGGTGGTTTATGTGTTTTTCTTTTGTATAGTTTGTACTTTAAAAAAAATTACATGAAGTTTCCAGGGATGGAAGATGACGATGATAATGATTGCATCATTGCATAAGGAATCTGATTTTGATGATGTTGATTATGCTCTTGTATTTGATGCTGTTGTTGTTGTTGTTGCGGCTGATTTTGATGATGTTGATTATTATCTTGGTGGTGGTGTAGTTGGATGGAGTGGTTCATGTTGCCTTTACTGTTAGCCACAAAAACAAAAACTCCAACCAAGCTAGCTAAGCTTCTTCTTCTTCCTCTTCTTCTTTTCTTCTACTTGAAGAGCTTTTGAATTCACCATTAATGGCGAAACCACCTTCCTTTTATTCCTTTGCAAATCATTTTTTCACCACCATCGTCCAAAAGAGTCATGAGAAAGAAGGAAAGAGAGAGAAAAAAAAAAAAGAGTCGGTTATAATTTGGAAGAACGGAAGAGATTTTCTTGATGATAGAATGAGAGAGTCAGAGAGAAAGAAAAAAACAAGAAAAACAATAAGAGAATGGAATTGAATTGCAAAAAACAAAAGACAAAACCCTTTATATCTCTCTATAAACAAATTAAATTATTATTATATTTTTTTCTTTTCCAAACCAAAATTTTCAGATAAAGCGGCCTGAATATATCCATTTCACAACTCCAAATAAAATAAATAAATAAATAAATAAAGAAACCAGAGAAGACCAGAAAAAATAAACACTTTATAATTTTATTTATTTGTTTGTTTTTTTATATAAAAAATACTTTTGATGGCAAACCGCTTTCACAGAGTTTCATATTGATTTATTTTGAAATGACGATAATATCCTTATGAAAGAGTAAATTTACTCTTGACATTTTCATGCAAACTTACAGTCGTACACGTAGATGTTGTGGTGGCGGCTACTCCGATGGAGTTTTTTAAATTGATTTCCTTTGAGACTAATTTGTAATCAAACATTTTTAATCATAAAAAAAAAAAAGAATTTCTCTACGTATATTGGAATTTGTTTTAAATAATTTTGGAAAATATTATATTTTTAACTTTAGAATTGATGCTTGATCATTGCAATAATAATAGTTTGTAATAATATAAGAGTAATTAATGATGTTTATCCAATCATTTTTGTCCTAACTTTTTATTTCATAGTTTTCCAGAAAAAGTTTAACTATAATCATAATATTTTAACTTATAATAGATAAATAAATATGAATTTTCCATTAATAAGTTCCATTTTAATTTAAATTTTATAATTTTAAACCTCAAATTTTTGTAATAATTTTAATAGAACTAATTAGTTCGTATAATAATAATTTATTACATAAATTTAATTATTGCGATAGAATAATATATAATAACAGCATTTTCTATAATATAAATGATACTATATTTATTAAATTACGAAACATCTTAATTTTACAAGCCAAAGTCTTTTTTTTTTTTCCAATAATCTAATTATCTCCGGTGGCTTGGTTGTTGAAATGGGATTTTCAATTTGGCACTTAAATTAATGATTTTGAAGGACAAAAGCTATGGCTTTAATTCTTTGAAATGTATTGATGACATTCTTCCAATTTTTTATCTATCATAAATTACATTAATTTAATTCAAATTTTAATTCAGTTAGTTCATACAATCATATATCATTTTCAATTTTTTATTTTATCCTCAAACTACTATCTCTTTTATAAAAAAAAAAAGCATTAATTAGAATTTATCGAGTTTAAAACATTTATAGCTCGAATAATCCAAAGTCAGTTTAAAAAAAAATAAAGAAAATTCTAGCTAGGCTAGTTCAATGATTACTATATAATTAATTATAATAATTTTGTTAATTATGTGAAGAAGAAAATGATATAGTATTTGTGGAAATTTTCATTCAGTTCAACCTGAACCTAGATTTGAAGACGTTGGGCAAGTTTCCAAGATGTTGAAACCTAAAGCTTGAACATATGGATTTTTCGATTTTTGGAAGTCTTTGAACTAATGAGTAATAATGCGATGTTAAGAAAGCTCCTTATTTTTTCTAGCTTTTTCCCAAATGATAACTCAATCTCAAGACTTTGGGTAATAAAAATTTTGTTGGACCAACATTTCCACACCCTATTCTTTGTCAATATTTTTAGTTTAATTATGTTAAATTTCAAGATTGAGAAAAGAAAAACTTCTAATCTCAACACTATCTACCAAATGATAAGTATGGATTTCGCTAACAAATGTGTTAATATCAGTTTTTAAAATCATTATATTAGGTAAATAATTTTTTTCGTCTTTTGAAATTTATTAAATTAATTATTAATTATCACGTTTTTAATAAAAAATTATTATTATAAATAATAATTTAATTAATCTTAACAAGACATTTGGGATTTTCTTCAATTGATTGGGCAAGACAACCTGTCTAAAGAACACATTCAAATCCTCCTTTTCTAAAAAATAGTTTAATGAGTTTCCTAAATAAATTCTTTAATAAAATTATATATAATAAAATAAAAGCAAATAACCAAAAAAGGATTTCAATGTATTCCTTATCTCTTTTTTAATTTATAAAATAAAATTAATTAACCTTTCAGTTTAGAAATTAAGATTTTAGTTATGAAAGGAGAGGAATCCCATTGATGCATTAAAGATGAAATGGCAAGAAGAGAAACTTTGAAAAGGGCCAAAACTTCCCGGAATTCGCCAAGCGTTACAGAATCATGAAGGGGTAGAGTTGTCAACAAAAAGTTTCAGAAAAATGGGAGAGGACTGAGGAGAAATATGAGGCAGCTGTCAGCCATAGGACAGAGATAGGACGGTTGACTATGCAATAGTTGTCGGATTAGAGTTCCCAATTTGATATTTGGGAATAGGGAGGCGTGGGAAGAAGGTGAAGAAGGTAAAAGTGGGACCCAAGCATCAAGTTAAACTTTAAACAATGGAAAGACTGTCCCAGTTTTGATGGGGCCCAGCAGGACCGGCCCCCACCTTTCCCGCGATTTTTTCTACTTCTTTGTTTCCAAACCACTCCGAATGTAACGACTCTCTACTCCCTTTATTTATTTATTTATTTATATTCTTAAAATATTTATTTATTTTTTTTAATTCACTATTGCGTCGATAACTAGTATTCTATTATTTTTGTTGATAAACAAAGCATCAGTTGAAAATTTTTAGTTTAAAATTTATTCATGCCATTTGAAATTAAGGTAAATTAGCTTGAGATAACATGCCTTTTTTGTGCCTAGCTAAAGATAGAGCTACAAATTATATTACTACAATCTGATTGAAAATACAAGACCTAGTCTTCTTTATGCCATCGATCATTCGAACGACAAGCAATGCAACCTAGCTCGATCGAATAAGCACTCGGAATAGTCAATTTTATGATGAGAAAATCCTCATTCTATAGATAATGTCACAGGCTGTTAATTACGTACCTACCACATGCATGTGCATAGGCTAATAAGAAAATACTTATATTATATCATGGATCAAGGACCAACCGATTAGAGCTTAAAACTCAATAATTTTGAAGATCTATACTTCAATATCATGTATCAAAAAGTTATAAAATTTTCCACTTCTTTACACTTAATCTCTATTGTAATTAATGTACAATGAAAACAGAAACTATAACTGATTAATTATTTGTAACCCTAATGTTACTTTCTTCGGTGAAGTTTGAGGTATTTATATATATGGGCTAGGCTAAAATGTACCTTTTGTCTTTTGCAAGCATTCGATGTTGATATACATATTCCCTCTAAAATTTTTAATCATTTATAGAGAAAATTTGATATCACAGCTCACTAATTAAGTTGTTTTTCATGGATGATAGTAATAATAGTATAGGAATTTTAATCAAGTTGCATATATATTTATAGAGAAATATTTTGTTTTGAGTTTTGAATATATATACATTTAATTACTTATTTAAATAAGTACAACCTACAATATACGATACGTATATTATACGTTATAATATATAAATATCAGTTGGTTAGTAAGATTTTTCTTTTATTTGGGCAATCGTTATCAAATAAGTTTTTTAACCATTTATCATATAAAAAGGAAAGATATATATACTTAAACTTATTATTTACTAAAGAAAATTGCTTTTATTTTATATAGTATTTATATTTCTTTGTTCTTATTATAGTATACATATACTAAAAAACAAAACTATTTGGATTAGGTATATCATAAGAAAAATTCTCAAAAAAAAAAAAAAAGGTATATCATAAGAAGATACAAAAAGTAAACCCATTTTATAATTACTAATAAATGATTATTTAGATCCTCCTTAAGGCCATTCAAGTAGGTATTTCATTGGTTTGCATCATCATCTAGAGTAAATATTAAAAATGTTGTAACAAGATATTAATTTTATTGTTTTTATTGAAGTCCAACTTGGCAAATTGGCTTCATTATTCTTTGTGAGTTGTTTTTATTTTTTTATTTAATGGCAAGGAATTTTTGGATTTTATCGAGTGCATACCTTCTCTGTTCTTTGTGAGTTATTGTTTCCTTTTACAAACACTAATTAAAATTAATTTTGTTTTCTTCATATTCATATTTTCATCATTTAAGCTCAAATATAAATTTCCAATGGCTTACTTTTCTAACTTTGTTACTTAGTTTTCTAAATTCTCACAATTCACAAATAATTAATATATATATATATATATAGCTTTTATAATGACAAGGATGGTGTAGCGAAATATTGTTCAAATCCAATGTATGTAGCTTTTCTTCACCAAAACTTTATATAATAATACTCATTAGTTTACTCATTATTTGTCCTATTGATGCGACCCCAAAATCGTTCATTAATTAGTCTTTGGTTGACTTTCTTGAAATTATATTGTTTTGGTCAACCAATTAGGCACCTTATTAGCCCTGACTATATGAAACTTTGTTAATTTATATTTGTAGACATTTCACTATTCCATGCTTACAATTTGTTCTAATCAAAATGGACAACAAATATATAGAAGATGCAATTTTTTACAGGTTGCTTTTGCAACTCCTTCACATAAGTCAATTTGTTTAAGAAATTATTTTGAATTTTGCAACATAAGTTATCTCCCCCTAGAATGCATTTGTTGCGGATTTATCTTATGATTTTTTTTCAATATATCCATATTTTGTTCGTATTTGTACGTAGAGAGTAGAGAGAGTAGCCGATATCAAACTCGAGTAGTTACATACCCGTTAAAAAAAAAAAAATTTGAAGAGAGGAGTTTTAAATTAAGAGGGCATCTTTACTTTCTTAGTCTTCTTTTAGTTTTATACTTTTAATCTAACATGTATTTGATGTATGATTGTTATGACATTTTTTATTGTTGACTCTAGTTAATAATTCAGGGTTGTTTAACAATAATTAAACCAGAACGATTGCCTAATCTTGCTGCTTGTCTTAAAGCTGGGGACATTGTCATTGTTGGGGCAATGCTAGCTCCTTTTTAAGGCCATTAATGTACTTATACATGTAAGTATACCTACTTCCAAAGATTAATCAATTCACCTTTAAAAAAAAAAAAAATTCTATTACAATATCTATGTTTTCAACTAAACCCACTTCGTTGATG